GAGAGGAGGGAGGAGAAACTTTGCCTCTTGTTGTTTTAGCCCCTTAAGTGCCGGGAACTCTGTTGGGAGGAAAAATGTCCTTCTTCAATTTCCGTAAGATCTTCAAGTTGGGGAGCGAGAAGAAGAAGAAGCAGTACGAGCATGTGAAGAGGGACCTGAACCCCGAGGAGTTTTGGGAAATTATTGGAGAATTGGGCGACGGAGCCTTTGGGAAAGTGTACAAGGTAAGAGGGAGAAAAGGGGAAGTTGCGCTGGTGAGGTGGACGGCCGCCGTCCGGGGCGCCTCGAGGGGGTCTCGCCGCCCTTGCCCCGCGCCTGCCCCTCGCCTTCGGAAGCGTCCATCGGAACTTGACTCAGGCTATCAGCCGCGGAGCCGCCGAGACGGGAGGCTTCCAGTGAACAAAATGGGGCCTGGATGTAGTTGGGAGAGTGATTGCTGCAGGGAGGCGAGCTTACACAGGCTCCTCCGTCAGGCTTGCAAGGAAACGCGGGCGCTCTTCAGTTTACAGCAGGGGTCAGGTTGTGGCCTTCAGGTGTTTTAAAATCGTACTTACTCTAGAAACTCGTGGTACTTTTCAGTGGGTTTATAGTCGTGTACTAGCTGTTTGCAGTCGTATGCATGGTTGTACTAAAACAGTTTCTGTTTTGGAGCCCAGGGCATACACTTGGCTGTGTCAGTAGCTAACACATAAGCAGTCTCTTGGGATGGGAGCAGAGCGATGGCCACTTGCAGGCTCTTCTTGAGCTGGTCGCCTCACAACATACTATAAAATGGAGTGGGATTTCTGGTAGAAAATTGCCAGAAGACAACCTGCATCTGGTGCTAGTTTCAAAGTAAGCATGGGCTAGAAGTCAGTACCAGTGCTTAAGAAATTAACACACACAGATATTTTATATATATGTATATTTACTTTAGTAGAAAGAGCCTTGATGTTTCAACCTGAAGGCATTCGTGTTCATTGTTTACTACCCCAGAAGGGTATATGAATGATGTCATTGGAATATTTTCATCCTGAAGGGTGAGGTTTTTATGAGGCACAGGTTAGGGGGAAAGATCCACAGGGTTGCCTAGAAGTGAAAACATAAATAACTAATGTTTATACAAGACGTCACAGTTTTTAAAGCACTTGCACATAGCTTGGCCCCTCGAAAGTCCTGTGAGGCAGACAGGGCAGTAGTATCTACATTTCACAGATGAGGACACTGAGACTCAGAAATTGTTCCGAGTCACACAAGTCACAGTCTAGATTTGAACTCGGGTCTTCTGACCCCTTATTTACTATTGGTTTTTTTTTTTTTTTTTACTTTAATGTCCATTGGTAAGAATGACAGAATTTTTTTCCTCCTTTCTAAGCATTAGCACACTTCTGCTTTTGCCCTGCCTCTGATGTATTTCACAGCCCCTTGTTTTTCTAACTTTACTCAGGCTGAAATACCCACTCCTATCTGTGTGCTTTCAGAACGCAGTGTTCACATGGCTCCTGATGACAGTTACATATTCTAGTTAATATGTTTATGTTTTTTATGATAAAATGGGGTGCCATAATTATGATATACATTTGGGTTCATCAATTGCCTTAGCACATAGTGTATCTGTATATTTGTTGAAATGAAAATGTTACCTACATGCGAGTGCTATTGAAGTTATTGTATGTGTGAAAATTGGCAAAGTAAACTTCAGTGCTTGTGTGCAGGGTAGAGAATGGGTTTCAACAAGAGGTAAGGTAGGAAGGAAGGGCTTTTAGTGCAGTGGGAAGGTCACTCCTGGGAATTGTGCTTTAGTGCTGGCTGTCACAAACCAGCTCTGTGGTCTTGGACAGAATACTTAACTTCTCTGGACTTCCATTTTCTTAGCTGGAGAATCATAGATTTCCCCAAACATTTGTTTAGATTTCTTCACCCATTAGCATTCTGTGAGTATGCAGTTATCTAGGAAAGGCAAAAATAAATCCTCAAGACATCTGGAATCTGGTGTTTAGAAGGCAGTAGGTGATTATGGGCAGTTTTCATGGTATAAGTGTTTTGTTGAATAGAACACAGTAATATTAAGACACTGACTCTGGAGTTGTACTAGATCTTGGCTCCCTCAGTAGCAGCCTGTGAGCTTGGACAAATTATGTTCCGTGTCTCAGTTTCCTGATCAGTAAGACCTGCTCCTCAGTGTGTGAAAATTCAAGGAGATGGTAAATTTAAGGCACATAAAAAGGACCCAGTAAATGGTAGAAATTACTGTTATTATACTTACAACTTAGAAGCAAAATATAGGATGGGACGGGAAAAGGGACCTACGAAAATAGTGAACATTTTCTTATTTTTCATGGCACAGGATGATTGTGTGGACATGCTAATGCTGTGATTTAATTATTTAATGACTTTCTGCGAAGTGTAACATATCTTTCTATAGTGAGACATCAGTTGAAAAATTTCTGAAAAATAAGAGACTCCATGTAGTTGAACATGAAAAAATTGTGTCAAGGATAATTTTTGTGGGCTTGATGACTATTTGTGTGATATTTGAAGAGCTTCAATCCTTTGTATCTTTTCATTTCACTATTCTATGCTTCTAAGTCTCTCAGATTTCTTTAAAAGAAAACTTAAACTTATCTGACCTGTTTTTTCTCTTTTTCCTGAAGGTTTCTGTTTTCCAACATAGTCTAGAAATTTTAAATTATAAACTTCCTTCGGTGTGGGGGAAAAAGCTCTTAAACCTTAATATTGTATGAAGTAGAAAACTGTTTCTAAAATTGATTCTAACTATCATTTACTTATGGAAATTAGCAACCATTTTAAAGATTAAATTATAAACAGGCAATCATCTTGTATACCTAGTTTATTTGAAACATTTTTTCATCATATAGTTGCATACTTTCCACTCAGTTTAGCACTACACAAATCTGTCTTCCCTATTTTTAATCTATTTTCTCTTTTTTTAAGTCTGACTTTATTTATTTTTTAATTTTCTCTTTTCAATGTAGTATCATTTGACATGTAAATGAAAATATATCCCTCACAACTTTTTTGAATTTCTGTTGTTATTAATGGGAAAAACGGGGAAAATTATGCATTGAATTGAAGCTGACCTCCTGACTGTGTGCTGGATGGAAGTGATTCTTTTTATGGCACTGATAGGTGTGCACCTTTGAAAAAAATAGTGAAATATATCATCTTTGTATCGAAAAAAATATGTGTACATTTAGCAAATAATAATAAATTGAACTAATGTTAATCACCAGAGTCAAGGAATTCTGTTAGCACCCCAGAATCCCTCCCACCTCCCTTCTGAATTGGCCCCTTTCCCCTCCTAAAGGGGGAATGTATGTTTGTATCCCTAAATATTATAATTTAGTTTTGAATGCACTTGAACTTTATATGAATGGACTCATATTGAACGTCTTGCCCCTTTCAAAGTCAGCATTATGTTTGTGAGGTTCATCTTTGTTATCACCTGGAGCTGTAGTGACTTCATTTTCAGTATTGCATAGAATTCCATTATATGGTTATATCACCAATTAAATACCATTGTACTGTTAATGGTAAATAATGGGTATATCAGTTGTTTCCAGTTTTTGGCTTTTATACACAACCCTGATGCATATATGCATGAGTTTCGCTAAGACTTAGGAGTAGAATTGCTGGATTACAGGGTACTGTATCTTTAATTTTACTAGATGATGCCAAACCATACTAATTTACATTCCTACCAGCAGCTTATGAGAATTTCCTTGTTCTGCATCCTTGCCAACATTTGATATTGTCAGAATTTTTCAGTTTTGACAATCTGATGTTACATGTTTTTTGTTTTTAATGTATCTTTCTCTGACTACTAATAAGTAATTTCTTTCATATTTTTATTGGTAGATTGGATTTCTCCTTTTGTGTTCAGTTCTCTTGTTCGTGTTCCTATTGGATGTCTTTCTCTTGTTTATTTGTGTATTTTGGATTTTAACCATTTTCCAAATCACTTTTTTACCTTGCCAGCTGCTCACGTTTAATTTTTACAGTTATGGAGCACTGTGGGCAGGCTACAAGGAGGCAGAGGAAGAAAGGACTTGCACCTTTCTCTTTGTTTTCTGTGGGCTTCCTGTCTGCTTTCCTGTTACTGTGACACTCATCCTAGTGGAAATTCTTCACCCACCAACAGGAGTTGAATCCAGTTAGTAATTTTTGCAGAACTCAGAGAGGTAGCCTTATCATAACCCTTCCTAACACCAGCTCCAGTTGGCTGTTCCTATCTTCCTCAAAAGTCCCATAAGACCCCTCTTCCAAGTTCAGAGACACCAGCAGCAGCTAAGCAGCCCTCTCTCCTCAGGGACCTGAGTTTCAGCTCTGCAGAACCTTTCCTCCAAGCTTCTTAGTTTTAATCATTCCAAATCCCTTCCCTTGGCTCCTCAGGTCCTAGGGTAGTAGCTTTTTCCTGCAGTTATTACCTCCACCTCCCATACTCTTCACTTCTCTATTTTTTTAATTACCTAGTTAACAACAGAGGCAATAATTATATTAAATTCTCTCTATTAAAATAATCAATATGATTTCTTTTTCCTGGCTGGACCCTTATTGGTACAAAGATTAAATAAGCGAATAAATGGAGAGTGTAGAGAACAGTGCTTGGCACAAGGTAATTGCTCAACAAATAGTACCATCTAATAGCATAATGGATACTATTATATAGAGTAGCATACTTGAAATTTGAGGTTTTTATACCCCATTTCTTTGCAAAATACTAAAATTTCCAATTTACTACATAGCTCAAAAAACAACAGCCCCAACCACGTAAAGATAATCATTGAACTTTATTGATACCGATATGCTCAAATATCACCTTCTCAAATATCACCGTCTAACTTAACTACTCTATTTAAGTTGTAACTTCTTCCCTGTGCACCTCCTGCCCATTTCCTCAGCTTTATTACCTTAATTATTTTTTTCCACAGTACTAATCAGCAATATACTATCTTTTTTTTTTTTTCTTTTGCCTATTGACTGTCCTCTCCCTACAATTATAAGTGTCATGAGGACAGAGGGATTGTGTATATTTTTTATACCATCAACATCTGGAACAGTGCCTAACATATAGAAGGTACTCAGTCTCAGTAAGCATTTCTTGAAAGAATGAATTAATTTTAGCAGACCAGTTCTTGAGCATACTTTATTATAATAGACTTTTGTATTACATTTCTTTCTGAGAACAGACTTTTGTGGGGTGTTGTGTTTGTGTTTTCTGCAGCTCCGACTAATACCTTGCATGCAGTAGACGTTCGTGAACTGTGATTTGGCTTGTTTAGTTTTCATATTTTCTTATGCTTGGATGTCCTTATACACTGGACAGGAAGGGACCTCTTGTCCTGGTGGGAGGAGGAATATCTTTGAGTTCTCAGGCTTGAGAGCAAATAAATCATCCAAATCAGTAGACTCAGTCCTGGTGATTACTAAAGTGGTCAAATTCATCCCTTTTTATTCTTTGTCTTTTAGAGTCTTTTTTGTTGTTATCCTATTTTTTCCTTCCCCCTTTGATTGACTAACATCTCTGTGGTACTAAAATCATCTATATTTTCTGTGCTGGTCTTTCAGTGTTCAGCTGAGCATTTCACTAAAATGTATTTTCTATTATGAAAGTGTTATATATTGTCTTAGAAAGTGTAGAAAGAAAATAAGTGAAAATTAAAAAATTACGTGTGTCCTCACCACCCAGGGAGGTAGTTAAACGAGAGTAACATAAAAGGATGTAATTTTTACCCTACTTCATTTAGAACATGAAAGCGGTACGGGAAACTCAGTCAGTTAGGTTTCCCTGTAGCCCCTAGTTGTTTATGTAAAGTGGCCAAGCTCTAGTCCTGATTTATGAAAATAACTGATTTTTATGTGATCATGACTGATCTCTGAAAACATTTTATCAATTTAAAGTAATATCTCAGTATGTGGTATTCCATTCTTGTTTTTATTAACATTTGTTTAGTTATTTCATTAAGTCTTTATGTGAACTGTTTTCATGCTTTTAGGTAGTAGATAGATGAGACTGTTTCTTTTTAATACTAATATCCATTATATTTGTTTAAAATGTAGTATCACATGCTTATCAATGTTTATTTCAGTTTTGATTTTCAGAGTTATCTAGAACCAGATCCTGATGAATAATCAATTTATTTTCAAGCAATAATGTAGGAGGCACTATGCTTTCTAATGTAACTTTTATTTATTATTTATATGAAAACAAAAGGTACCATTGTTGATTTAATCAGTATATCCAGGGGAATGCAATAATAAAATTTGTTACTATAAAGAACTTTAGAGATTATCAAATGTTATTTCTTTCCCCTTCATGCTATTCCATTCACAAGGAAAAGACATCTTTAAAATCTCTCAGGACATGAGTAGAGCATGCAGAAGTAGGATGACTTTTAACTCCACTTACAATATCCTTAGTTTCCTACCACACTTTATATTTTATAATGTTCCTCTTCAAGGACAGCTCTTCTGGTCTCTTTCTTCCCAGAGTGTTACATTAAAAGGATGAGAGGAGGGCTTATCTTTCACTGGCTTATTTCCTCTGACTTAGGGGAGGGTGAGTTCTAATTGTTACTGACTCAACTGTAGTATCTTTCTTAGTGATACAACTTAATGCTGTATTTTTACCAGTTATGACAGACTTCTTGCTTTTTAATGCCTCTGAAATTGGGATTGATGCCTTAGTAGTATTGGTGGTCAGGTAGAGGTTATGATATATCTGTCACTGAACTTAGTTGTGTCCCTGGTGTCATACAGTTGCAATCCCTTGATGTTTCAATTAATAAACTATTTAAGGACCTTTTGAAGAAAGAATATGAGTCCTGGTTGTCACTTAAAAATCTTTTATCATCTGTGGTAAGATCAAGGAAGTGGTATCATCATTATAGTTGCAAAATGGGAGACAGTGGCTTCAAAGAAAATTTTGGAGACAGTAGTTAAGGAGCAGTGTTATATCACTGAAGCTTTTAATTTAATGGCCAGAGAATGATACTGTGTAAAACATAAACATTAGGTAACTCAGTGAAAAAGTGATTCAGAAGAGTAAAACTATATGAAGTATTTAATTTTTATGTATGAGCAAGGATAATAGATAAATAACAATTTTTGTCTAAAAGTTCTTTAAAAAGTTGTAAAAAAATTCTAAATAAAGTGTTGACATAGTTTAAGTGGAAATTTTTCTTCATTAGTGGAGTATAAGATAATGGTGTATCTTAAAAGGCATTGTAGATTTGTTAAAATATGAGAGTTTAGAATATTCTTCTAGAGTGGTAGTGATGATCAGTATGAAGTTTTTTTGTGTGTGTGCAAAGCATTCTCTGAACCCTAAACATTAGTGTTACTTAATTAGTAATTAGTATTTTTGCCCCTATTTTTTCCTAAGGAAGTAAAACATAGCAATAATGTACTTAGAAAATGTTAAACAAAAGACTTCACAACCAAAAATTTTTTGAAAGAAATGTTTTATTGAGCCAAGTGCTAGCCAGGAAAGGACCAGGTCCTGGGGCATGAAGTCTAAACCACCGGCAGCATGGTTGGATGGAAAAGATGAGCGTGTATGTACTAGCATTGATGGGCGCTTTTATACCTTCTGTTTTGGGGAAGAAAGATATAAGTTGTTTTGAAAGAATTTACATTGGTTTCAGATAAGGGGGTGCGGGAAAAGGTGAAGTGGGGGCAGTTTTGTGATAGTTGTACAATCTATATGGAAGAAATATTTACTGGTTTTGATTAGTTACAGGCAGCAGTCCTGAAAGTTCATGCACAGCTGTCTAGTGATTGGCCAGTGGATCCTGGAGGCTGATACAAAGCTCCGACATATGTTCAGGAGTGTGGGCAGTCTTGTTGGCCCAGAGCTAACAGAGTGGAACGATTAATGAGTTGTTCTCTCTCCTGAGTTCTTTCTCTCTCTCTCCTGTCCACTGTAATTTAATTTAGGATGTACAGAATTTTCCTCTTGACAGAAATTACCACACACAGGCTGACACCTGCTTTGTTTATTTTTTTCTTCATCATTGCCAGAGTTAGGCAATAGATCACTAAGAAATCTCCTGTACACTTTATAGATACTTCTTACACAGCTCTCCGTATGTGAAAATGGATGTGTAGTTTCTGTAAAATTACATACTTCTCATGTTTAATAAGTTGCCTTTTTCCCTGTTCACTGATGTTGTATGGCTACTATTCCATCTTAAGTAATATTAATTGATTAGTCAATTAATTTTGGCTGCAGAATGTTTCATTGTAAATTATATTGAACGATTTAAGCAGATTCTTGCGAGGGGACATTTAGGCTGATTCAGTTTTCCTTACCGTTAATAGTGCTTTGATGAATATTTTTATATATGCATATTTTTTATTTTGTTAAATTACCTTCTTATGATCAATTCTTAAAAGTTGAATTTGGGCATTTATTTATTTATTGAAACAGTAGCTTTTAAAAGTTTGATTTTTTTTTTTCTGTTAAAGTAATATATTCAGTTTTGCTGCAGTGATAACATAATATTGAAATGTCTTTAAAAAACCTAATTAGTATTTTAAGATCTGATTAAGATATGCACTTGTATAATGCATAGCATGCATTAATTAATATTTATGTTTAGGCTCTCATTCAAAATAAGCATGTAAAAATAACAAGCCACTAACTGGGAGAAAATATTTGCAAAAGATATCTGATAAAGTACTATTACTCAAAAAGAACTCTTAAAACTTAACTATTAGAAACCCAACAATCTGATTAAAAATGGGCAAAAGATCTGGGCAGACACCTCACCAAAGACTTACAGATGGTCAATGAGTATATGAAAAGGTGCTCAACATCATATGTCATTAAAACAAGGAGATACCGCTATACACCTATGTTGGAATGGTGAAAATCCAAAACACTAACACCAAATGCTGTCAAGGATGTGGCACGACAGAAACTCTCATTCATTGCTGGTGGGAATGCAAAATGGTACAGCCACTTTGGGAGAGAGTTTGGCAGTTTCTTACAAAACTCGACATATTCTTACCATCTGATCCAGTAATTGTGCTCCTTGGTATTTCCCCAAAGGAGTTGAAAACTTATGTCCACACAAAAACCTGCACATGTATGTTTATAGCAGCTTTATTCATAGTTGCTGAAGTTTGGCAACAACCACGATGCCTTTCTTAGGTGAATGGGTAAATAAACTGGCTCATCTATGTAACAAACTGTTATTCAGTGCTAAAAAGAAATAAGCTGTCAAGCCATGAAAAGACATGGAGGAACCTTAAGTGCATGTTACTAAGTGTCAGAAGCCAATCTGAAAGGCTACATACTATATGATTCCAACTATAGGACATTCTGGAAAACCAAAACTATGGAGTAAAAGATCAGTAGTTTCCAGGGGTTAGGAAGAAGGGCGGGATGAATGGGTAGAGAGCATAGAGGATTTTTAGGGCAGCAAAACTATTCTTATATTATAGTGACAGATACATGACGTACTTTGTCAGAACCCATAGACTGTACACCAGGAGTGAATCCTAATGTAAACATTGGTCTGGTCTGTGGGTGATAATGATGTGTCAGTATAGGTCATTAATTGTAACAAATGCACCATTCTGGTACAGAATCTTCATAGTGGGGGAGGCTGTGCATGGGTACGTAGAAGCAAGGAGTAAATATATAGGAACTCTTTGTACTTTCTGTTCAACTTTCCTGTGAACCTAAAACAATTCTAAAAAATGAAGTTTATTAAAAAATAGAAAATAAAATTAAAAAAACAAGTATGCATTGAGACATTTTTGATACTTACATTTTTTTAGGCCCAGAATAAAGAGACCAATGTTTTAGCTGCTGCAAAGGTGATTGACACCAAATCTGAAGAAGAACTTGAAGATTACATGGTTGAAATTGATATTTTAGCATCTTGTGATCACCCAAATATAGTCAAGCTTCTAGATGCCTTCTATTATGAGAACAATCTTTGGGTAAGTGTTTTCTGTTAATCTATAGGAGTAGTCAAAATGAGTTAATTGTCCTAAAGAGGTCTGTGAGTTGTGAAAGCCTATTTTGTGTATAACCTCTTTCCTTTAGTTCCTTGTGTTGAGAGTTGATTTGCTAATGAGGGGGTCATTAACAACATAATTACCCTTAACTTCAACAGATACAGGGGTGGGCAAAAGCAGGTTTACAGTTACTTGTATGGAAAAAAGACATGCAGGTAATGATTATTACAATAACTTTATTAACTCTGTGTTTTGCGACTCGCAGCTATAAACCTACTTTGCCCACCCCGTGTTCAGATTGTGTATTTCAGATTGTACCATACATATTTCATGATTGTTTGACATTGGACCCAAATGGAGAAACTTGGTTACGAATGTTGTTTCCCAAACTATGAAATTAGATGGCTTTCTCTTATTTTTTAAATTTAAGCATTTACTTAAATTTTTTTTTAAAGTTTCTTGTTTTCCTAGAAATTGTTTATAATTTTATTACCCTAAACTTTTTCTAAATCATGTAATAAATTATAAAATGCTTACTAGAAATGTTAAATATTTATCTTAAATAATCAGACCCAGTTTTAGTATATGATGTAAGTGGCTCAAGCTGTATGTATAAATTACGTTCATTTTTAGAAAATATTAGACACAAATAGATATAGAAATAAAAATATTCATTATAATAACCAGTCACTTGCTCTGCACCAATGCTTATTTAATCAAGAGAGTTTTTTGAAATTGAGGTTTTGTTTTTCTCCTTGAAGGAAGAAGCAAAGTGTTGTGAGAGAGGAGTAGGTAGTGCAGGTAATACCTGACTAGAAATCAAAAGCCTTTATTTTTTGATCCTGCTGTTGCTAGGTAGGAGCTTAAATAAATCAATTAACTTTTATGAGTCTGTGTACTCACTTACAGGATGAGTAATGATCTACCTCTCAAATTATTTTTTAAATGATATAATGCATTTGAAATCAATTTGTAATTGGCAAGCATCTGTAAAAAATAAAGTGTTATTCTATAGAGGGAAAACAAGCTGGGAGCTGTACAATTTGTTAAGACTTGTAATTTTAAAAAGTTATAGTTATTATTAGCGTGGTATCTTCTAATACAGTTGCTCAGGTCTCTAGCAAAATGTTTCCAGAGATTATAACGAAAATGAACTCCTAGACAATAAGTAGATAAGATATTTACTTGAGACTATTATAAAATAAAAAGTTGGACATTTGTGAAGGAACATTCTAGTGGGGGAGATAGAAAGTAGTGAACCAAAGCATCATAGTAAATATAAAATTACAACTGTGATAAGGCTTAAGAAGGAGAGGTACATGCTGATATGTATCACGGAGGTCTGGGAAGGCATCTATCAGGAAGTGAGAGCTGAGCTAGGATCTGAAGCTTTTGTGTTTATTTTTTTTCTATTTTTTTTAAAACTCAAAGAAGTCTCTGTATTTTCAGAGTTTATTCCTATTAGTAAAGCTAAAAAATACTACATTTCATTACTTAAATCACAATAGTTACCTTAAAAATGAGAGTAATAAAATCATTCAGGAGTGATGAAATGGATTATATTACTGTCCTGGCCCTGGCAGAGTTGCTCAGTTAGTTAATAGTGTTGTCCCTATACACCAAGGTTGGGTTTTGGTTCTCTGTCAGGGCACATACAAGAAGCAACAGGTGAATGCACAGATGGGTGGAACAGCGGGTCCATGGTTTTTCTCTCTCAAATCAATAAATTAAAAATATATATATATATTCTCCTGAAGAAAAATTCTGTGCCGGTTGTTTTAGAGAAGCAGGGATACTAAAAATGGTGATTAACAAAAAAGCACCTACTTCCAGAATGTGTTCTCTTTGTGCTTTCTCAAATGTATATCATTAAGACTCCTAACGCTTTGGACAAAGGTAATCTTTATGGTTAGCATAATATTGTTTCCTTAGCCCAGGTTATTTGATAGCTATGCTTTAATCCTTCTTGCTAAATTAAAGAAAAAATACTCAAACTCAGTGTTGTGTTAGACACATGCTTTTTTATTTGCCCACAGATCCTCATTGAATTTTGTGCAGGTGGAGCAGTGGATGCTGTGATGCTTGGTAAATACCTTTTTCTTTATGTTAATATCTTAAATTATACTTAATAAAAATAAATGGATTTCAAACATTTATACATATATCTTATTGATGGGTGAAGTTCAGTCAATTAAGAAATCAGCTTAATTGTATTTTTATATTCTTAGATAATTGTAATAGAATTCTAGAATTAAATGTTGAGTATAAATATGACGAAAATAATCTTTTATATATATTCAGTTCTTCTAAAATAAATTCACTGTATATGATCCTTGACAGTGATGGTAAAAGTAAGAGTTTGCTGACATGTTTTCACTGTGTAAAAATGAAGATTTGTTTACTTTTTCCTTACAGAACTTGAGAGACCATTAACTGAATCCCAAATACAAGTAGTTTGTAAACAGACCTTAGAGGCGTTGAACTACTTACATGATAATAAAATCATCCACAGAGATCTAAAGGCTGGCAACATTCTTTTCACCCTAGATGGAGATATTAAGTTGGGTAAGTTTATTCCCTTAAATAAAACATTTGAATTTGTGCTCTGAAATTTCCCCCTGAATGTATGTGACTTAATATTGTTTTGTTATGACTCAAATATGTGAAACATGGAGAATTAGTCCATATTAATCTTTTAAAATACTCCCTTGGATAAATAATTATTCATTAACTTCCAGATTTCCTAAGTATAGTCATCTAATATAAAGACACTTTAAAAAGAAAGTAAGAAAGGGTAGATGTTTATTTTCAAAAAGGCAAGCTTTTAAAAACTGGTTAATTCTTTTTTCCCCCTTAAATTTTTGTATGTAGGCTTAATACTTATTAATATATATTCAGAATATGATATAGTATGTAAAACTGCTAACTTCATTTTTAATTCTAAAACTCATGTCTAATGAAGTTCTTTTTCCATGTTTAGTTTTATACTCTATACATACGGTATCTTGGCAAAACTAACAAAGTAACTAATCTTAGGTCTGAAAAGGATGCCTAGAAGAAGTATAAGAACTATAGTTTTTACTTTTGTTTTTTATGCTGAGGGAATAAATAAAACTTCATGAGAAGAAATAGATGTAGATTTAAATGGGAAATTAATTTCATGTATGTACATACAGATGGAAGATATAGTCCTCTTTAAGTACACCTAAGATTAAAAAAAAATCTTGTGATGATGTCTACATTTGTGTAATTGGAAGGACATTAAAAGGGAAAAATATGTTCAAAAAACCATATTGATAACAGTGATCATAGGCATTTCACCTTACTTTGCATGACATCAAAACAGGTATAATGTGATGTACTACATTTTAACCTTTATATTTTGAAGTAAACAGATATAGGAAACTACACAGACAACCTAGCTTAAGACGATGAATTGGTTCTCTGTCATCCTCAGTTGGTGACCAGTATTTTAAAAAATCATTAATTCATGAATTATTTTTATTTTATAGGTTTCAAGTCTTCCAATTTTTATCCTTATTGAAGCTCACATTATATAATCTTTTGTTTGTTTTGTTTAAGCATGTCTATTGATTTTAGAGAGAGGAAGGGAGAGGGAGAGGGAGAGAAACATCAACGATGAGGGAGTCATTGATCGGCTGCCTCCTGCATGCCCTCCACTGGGGATCGGTCCCGCAACCCGACCATGTGCCCCAACCGGGAATTAAACTGTGACTTTCTGGTTCATAGGTTGATGCTCAACCACTGAGCCTTGCCAGCCGGGTTTAATTCTTTTGGTTATTCCAGAAGTGAAATTGCTGGATCATATGGTGATTCTGTGTTAATTTTTTTGAGGAACCACCATATCATTTCCCATAGCAGCTTCACCATTTTATATTCATACCAGCAATGCATGAGGTTTCCAATTTCTCTGCATCCTTGCGAATACTTCTTATTTTTTGTATTTTTGATGGTAGCCATCCTGATGGGTATGAAGTGGTAATGGGTATGAATTCGTTGTGTTTATCTGCTCTTGCGTTCCTCTTAGTCTTTTTTTCTAAAATGATTTCTTTATTTATAATTTTAGTTAATACCACCTCATTTCTGAGTTTTTGTAATTCTGACTTATGCTACTCTTTTATGTCTTACCACACCCGAGGATATATTTTATTGATTTTTTTTTTTTTTAGAGAGAGAGGAAGGCGGGGGAGAGAGAGAGAAAAATCAGATCAGTCACCTCCCATACGTGCCCCAACTGGGGATCGAACCTGCAACCTAGGTATGTGCCCTGACTAGGAATTGAACCTGCAACCTTTTGGTGTGCGGGACGATGCTCCAAGCAACTGAGCCACCTGGCCAGGACTGTCTTAACATTTTTTTAAGTCTGGTAGCTCATTTTGAAATAGTTGTGATATAATTTTGATCCATTTTTGGTGAATGTTTTTCTGTAAATGTATTAAAATCTTATTTGAATAAAAGAACATACTTTTGAGTAAATTAGTGTATACTTTAAAAAATACGTATATTTTTGAAGATTTAGGAATGCAAAATAATTTTGAGTTGGTTGATATTTAAAATAGTTTCAGTTTCACTTTTATTAATTTGTAAATACACAGAACCTTCCATCTCTTTCATACCCTGAACAGTACTATCCTCAAGAACCATAGTACAATACCCAAATTTTTATGATCTTACTGGATCATGTCATTGCAAATGGAAATAAGTAGGTAAAATTCTATTTTAACAAACCAGTGTGTACATGTCACATCATTATAAGCAGAAATATGAAGCACATAGCAAACTTAATCTTCCCCTTTGCACAGAAAAGAAAGATGCCTTTTGTCCCTCTTTAGTTTATCTCCTGTTCATTGGGGCACTTAGAGAGGTATGGATGTTGACAGTAGACAGTTGTTTAGGCCTGATTCTGGACCCTCTTCCCAGGCATGTTCTGAGGGGAGAAAGTTAAAAAGAATAATGTTGATAGATTCCAGGAAAACACTAGAATAAGTACTGAGCTGACTTTGCATAAGCACAGAACCTCTTGTGGCAGAATTTCATACTGTGATCTCAACTCCTTCCTCCAGAAATATAAGAAGCTTATAAGTAGAGGAGATGGAGGCTGTTAGTAGGGGTGAGGAGTCCTGAATAAATGTGTTTATATTGCATTTTCTGTAAATAGTATATTCCAGTTATAATATGTTCTGTTTTCTTATTTATTTAATTATAAAACATTAATTAAATATCTAATATTATGAAGGACTTTGTATATTAGGAAGTTTGAACTTCATTCCACAGGCAATAGGTAGCTGCTTATTTGTGTTTAAGTAGGAGAACTACATGGTCGAAAAAGAAAAAAGAGAACCATATAATAAATACAAATAATTAGATTACAAAGCAGTACTTAATGAGTTTTAAGAGTTCTATCAACAAAGTATCACAAAGGTTAGAATTATAGATGTGGTTAATAATAGTAGTTACCATTTACTGAGTATATATTCTGTGCCAGGCCTTGGGGCATGAGCACTAAATGCTGGATTTTGGTATTTATTTAATTTTGAGAATTGTGTCATGTCAAACACGAAACCTTGAAAGATATATGTATGTATGGCATGAGGTAATTTAGGCAGCAATAGCAGTTTTATGTTGCTATTAATGGTTGTCTGAGCTGTAAGCTTACAAGGTGGAGTTTAACAGCTATTAAAGCTATATTGTTGCTGTTCTCTATAATTTAAATCAGAAAACGTGGTTCCTAATTTTTCCTTTGTACTATAATTTTATGAGGAAGTTAGCAAGCCATATGCTGTCATAATGGCTGCTTTGGTATAATTTCTGTTTTTCACAGTATAGAAAAAATGTTTATGTCTATTGATTTCATTATAATGTAACACTAGTTGGCATTAGTTTTGAAGTGGATAGACTGGTTTATTTTAAAGTTACTACTTTTTCCTTCAATTCTGGAGAATTTGTGATCTGAAGATGTATAAAGATGGTGATATTAAGTATATTAATGATGGAATCTTTTCTGTGGCAATTTTTGGGATGGGTGTGGTAGAAAGAGGGTGGTCGAAGTTAGAATGGTATAGAAGTTACTTTTCTTACCCTTTAATAAAAGTGGTCTTATGAAAGATTTGATATGCTTTCCCAAACTTTGTTGACTACAGTGAACTTTGCTTAAAAACTATCGTTAACACCCTGTGTGATTATTTATTTCAAGCCGATTTTGGAGTATCAGCTAAAAACACAAGGACAATTCAAAGAAGAGATTCCTTTATTGGCACACCATATTGGTAGGTATTCATTTTTGTGGATTTACAGTGTTAGTTATGTCAGCAGTTACTATACTCATTAACTTGTCCACATAATTGGTGATACTGTCTATCTTTTATGAGTGTTGCCATCACTATTATGTTAAACATTTTAACTTTCAATTTTCTGTCTTCATAGGATGGCTCCTGAGGTAGTCATGTGTGAAACGTCGAAGGACAGACCCTATGACTACAAAGCTGATGTTTGGTCCCTGGGTATCACTTTAATAGAAATGGCTGAGATAGAACCACCTCATCATGAATTAAATCCAATGCGAGTGCTGCTAAAAATAGCAAAATCTGAGCCCCCTACATTAGCACAGCCATCAAGATGGTAAAATAAACAAAGCTTTTTATTCTTCCAACTTTCCAAGGGTATTTAAATTTGTGGTACAAAGACTATGTGAAGTAGAAAACGGATTTTTTTTTTTTAATCCTTCCCCCAGATAATTTTTCCATTGCTTTTCAGAGAGAGTGGAAGGGAGAGAGAAACATTGATGTGAGAGAGACACATCAATTGGTTGCCTCCCACATGCACCCCAACCAGGGCTAGGGATTGAGCCTGCAACCGAGGTACATGCCTCTGGCCAGAATTGAACCCAGAACCCTTCAGTCCACAGGTTGACGCTCTTACCGCTGAGCCAAACCAGCTAGGTCTAGAAAACTGATTTTTGGTATAGTTTCAAGACTTAAGGACCATTTAAACTCTTATAACTAACTTTTCCCATAATTAAAAAAAAAAAAAAAAAAAATTTTTAGAGAGGGAGGTGGGGGGCGCGGAGAAAAACAAACATCGATGTGAGAGAGAGACATCGATCAGTTGCCTCCCGCATGTGCTGACCAGGGATCAAAACCACAACCTAGGTATGTACCCTGACTGGGAATTGAACCTGTGACCTTCAGGTGCACAAGACTAAGCTCTTACCAGCCAAGGTACACGAGCCAGGGCTTTTCCCATAAATTTGAAAATACCAGTAACTTGAGCTCTAAATGAAAAAAGTATTTTCTGTACTATGAGAAAGTGAAGCATATATTTATTTGATCTATACTTGTGGAATTTAATATAGAAGAATTTTTGTGACTTTTGGCATACTTGTGAATACACGGTTATATATCTCACTGGTTAAAACTTTTGAACCTATTTACATATATGTCTAAATTGTATTTATAAATAAATAACATAAAATCAGTATTCTCATTAACTAGTATTTTTATGTTGAATTAATACTATTGCATACATAATGAAACAAGTTTAATTTATTAGAGTTTTGTTTGATTTTAATAAGAAAGTAAAATAGAATGTCATGGTTAAAATTTTATTTTGAAGGTCTTCAAATTTTAAGGACTTTCTAAAGAAATGCTTGGAAAAAAATGTGGATTCCAGGTGGACAACATCTCAACTGCTGCAGGTAAGATGGGTAGCAGTACAAAACCTTTATTGTACTATCATAAGAGTAGTATGATAAAACAAACCATGTAATTATTTTAACATCTTTTTAAGAAGAATACAACTTCAGATCCATTCATTGTGCTCTCTTTCCACTTTTAGCAGGACTTTTAACACTTCTAACAGAACTTTAAAGCTTTTTGTTAGTCTTTCCTTGAGGCTTTATACTAGATTTATATATATTGTTACTTTTTAAGAACTCATGTTGTACAGTTAACTTGAAACTTACTTTAAATTTTAGATTATGAAATTTTCAAACATACTATGTATGCCTAGTATCCAGATATAATGTGTTGTTATTTTTGACATATTTCCTTCAGATTCTTTAAAAATGGTACCGTAGGGGTTGCAGGCAGCCTCTACTGCTGTTGAATCCCTTTTACCGTCTTCCTTTCCCAGGTGTAACATTGTTTCACGTTGTTTGTATTTTTCCTCCTTACGTATTCATGTTTTTACCACGTAATCATACGTTTAATTACTACTTTACGAGCAAGCGTTTCAAGTGTTACTGAGCATGCTTTTTTTAATGATCAAACAGCACCCCTTTGTTACTGTGGATTCCAACAAACCAATCCGAGAGTTGATTGCAGAGGCGAAGGCGGAGGTAACAGAAGAAGTGGAAGACGGCAAAGAGGAGGATGACGACGAAGAGGCAGAGAGTTCCCTGGTTAGTGGGACGGGCTGCGCGGGCGGTTAGTGTGGGCTCAGGTACCGCACCTGCAGCTAAGGGTTGATTGACGGTAGCAGTACAAGACCTTTAATTTTAAAGGTGAAGGTTAATAGCAAGTTTACTCTTGCTTCCCATTTTTGTCATATGAAGTTAAGATATGTCAGTTCTTTATTTTTATAACTTCATCAGATTTACTGAACAAAGATATTAAATCATTATATATGAATTAGATAATTTTTAAATATAAATAATTAAATAACTAAATAAAACGTTTTGGTCACCATCTTGTTTTAACACTAAAATGTATAAAATCTTTTTCAGCCAATACCTGCAAGTAAGCGTGCCTCCTCTGACCTTAGCATTGCCAGTTCTGAAGAAGATAAACTTTCACAAAATGCTTGCGTTTTGGAATCTGTCTCAGAAAAAACAGAACGTAATACTCCTGAAGATAAGTTTAACAGCAGAGTTCTTAACGAAAAGCCCATTACTAATGAGCCTGAAAAAGCTGTGGAGGGTATTGATGAACATATTAATGATACTCCTTTAGAAGCTATGGCTGAGCTCCACAATGGAACAGTAATAGTCAAGGAAAGTGGGAGAGAGGAGAAGAGACCCAAGCTTGAAAATCTGCCTGATACAAAAGACCAAGAAACAGTAGACATGAGTTCAGTCAGTGAAGGAAAAGAGAATAATATGACTTTAGAAACAAATATTGAACAGAATCTGAAACCTGAGGAAGAAAGGGTTCAGGAAAACCAACAGATATTTGAAAATAAGGTTATAAAATCTGAAGAAGAAATTAAAGATACTGTGATTCAAACAATGGATTTAGTTTCTCAGGAGACTGGAGAAAAAGAGGCAGATATTCAGGCAGTGGACAACGAAGTTGAGCTTACAAAGGAAGACACCCAAGAGAATTTGGGAAAAGATGAGAAAACTCAAAAAGATGTGATCAGTGATACAAGTAATGCAATAGGAGCAAATGAGGCTGTGGATGTTGCTCATAAGGCAGCTGAAAACAATGCTAAGGATGCTCAGAGCAGTGATGGGAAAGAAATGGTTGAAGCAGGCCAGAAATTAGCAAGTAAACCCACAAAGGATCCTGAGGTTGGTGGTACTGAGGAAGTTTCTATTAGAGAAATAGTTGAACCTGATGAGATAGATCAAAAATCTGTACAAGGTAAAGGTGAGAAACAGTTAATCAGCAGTTCCGAGAACATAGTGGAGACCAGTGAGGAACCCAGGACAAATGAAGTTGAAATTACTGAGTCAAGGAGCACTGAAGAAATAGAGGTCAGAAGTGCAGTGATTCATACTGACCAAGAGGCTTCAGGAACTGAAATGCAGGATGCTCATGAAGCCTCTACTCAGACAGATATAGAGCAAAAAGAGATTCCATGTGAAGTGCCAATTAAAACAGAACCTGAAGTTACTGCCGCTTCACGGCCCAGTCAACCTCAGCCTGTTCCAATACCTAGTATTAATGTCAACTCTGAAGATGCAGAAAACAAAGGGGAAATAGGTGTTTTATCAAAAACTGAAACCATGTTGCTACCAGAATCTGAGACTCAAAAGGAAAATGATACTGATTCAGGCACAGGTTCCACTGCTGATAATAGCAGCATTGACTTGAATTTATCCATCTCTAGCTTCCTAAGCAAAAGTAAGGACAGTGGATCAATATCTTTACAAGTAAGTGCACGTGGGTCCTTGTTTGGGTTTTTCTTTGTCGTTTTGGCAATTTAGAGTTTATGTGAAACTGATGTCTTGAAAATAAGACAACACTAAATCAGTGTAGTATTTATTAGCCCTATAAAATTCTTAAGGCCTACAAAGCAATCAATTAAAAAGAACCAAGGAGAGAGGTTTTGGGTGAGACCTTTAAGTTTTTTGGTAGTACCTACTTATTTTTGCCAACTTCACATAAACAGTTTAATATAGTTGCTTAGTGTGATTTCGGTTCTCTTATTGCACATATGTAGATACTATGTTAGCAAGACTAAATCATGTATGAGAGAATTGAGAAAGAATAATCTTTTTAAAAGCACATTTAGGGTGTTAACAGCCCTTCATTTACCACTGGCCCACACAGATGACCACTGTTGAGTCTTCCTCAGTCATAGCCATCATTGTTGCCATGAGAACCATCGTAGGAAAACAAACAAAACCAAAAGCTAAAACCCAGAACACTTGTTCCTAAATATTAGTGTGCTAAAGAGAACAGGGGGAGCTGTGTAGAATTATGGGGTGGGGCCCAAGAATCAGTATTTATAACAAAAGATCCAGTGGAATTCTGATACAGATGAGCCATGGACTAAAGACTTTGAGTTGACAGGTGGCAGAAGAGAAGACTATAAAAATGAGAAACAACTTAGGAAAACTGACCTTAGGGACAAGACTCTAAGGCATAACTGCCCCAAATTATTACATGTTTTGCCTAGATTGTCTTCAGTTATTTTGTTTCACTGACTGAAATTCTGTTAATCTGAAGTCCATTCACTGACTTAATAGGTAGTGTAACTATCTATGTATACTAACTTTTAAGTTACACTATAAAAATATACTAATATTTTTTTAAAATGCAAATACTGAGAGAATTAAGGTCATGTTAATTATGGATATTTTAGTAGGAACTGAAGAAATGAAAAGTTTGGAGGTTACGGGGAGGTAAATCTATTTTGGGGGCAAGCCCACTTTAAATTATAGAGGAAGCCTAGATAGGGTGCTTAGGGAGAGGAGCGTGAGGATACTGGAAGCCTGGAGAATAGAACAATAAGAGGTTACAAAAAGGTGACTGGAAAGTACCAAAGACAAAGTTTAAAATCTAATGCGTTTTGAATTTAGTATTTTCACATTCCACTTTTGCTCCCTCTGCTTTCTAACCTTTCCCCATATCAAAACCAAGTAATTATCTTCTCTCAATACTTATGTTTACCAAATCTATTTATAGGAGTGTTATATTTCTGTTATTTCTATTTACATTTAAAAAGCATTTGGGCCCTGCCAGTGCTGCTCAGTGATTGAGCATTGACCTATGTATGATACAGGAGATTGCGGTTTGATTCCCTGTCACGGCACATGCCTGGGTTGTGGGCTCGATCCCCAGTATGGGGCTTGCAGGAGGCAGCTGCTCAATGACTTTCTCATCATTGATGTTTCTCTCTCTCTCTCTCTCTTCCCCTCTTCCTTCCTCTCTCTGAAATCAATAAAGAGATATTTAAAAAAAAGTTACCATCACTAAAAAAAAATAAAAAAGCATTTGGATACCAGTTGAGGAATGAAGAGTTTGGTCTTAATAAAGAATGGTAGGCAGCTCTACCTCTTGGGAACACACCTGAGTCTTTCCCTCTCTCAAGTTCCAAGGGCCGTCTTCTGTCTTTGTAACTTGTTTCCTGAGCTTATGCAGCCCCACTGGCTCACTTCTAGTACCTTTGTAACTTTCTAAATGTTTTCTTATAGTTTGAAAGAAAAAAGAATGGTAGGCAATAGCTAGCAGGCAAATGGTTCTTTTGAGGTGCGGTAGAGATGCTTCCTTTCTGTAACTCTAAAATCACACATTCATCTCCAGCCCTGGGATGGAGGAGAGCTGTTGATATTGTTGCTGATGAAATAGATTTTGATTCCCAGTCCCGGCAATGTTTAAAAATTACCTGGGGAGCCTTTTCAAAATACAAATTCCCAGCTACTCTTAGCCCTATTGATTTAGAGTCTTTAAGGGATGAGCCCCAGGAACTCATTTTTATTTTGCCAGTGGTTCTAAAACTGATGAAAAGCAGAGGTATCTGAGAACCTATAAGGTGAAAAGAGGAAGAAAAAAATGTTTAATGTGTAAAAGTTATTATGTTAATTGATCCTTACTGCTGTGCCTGATTATGATTTGGTACATGCACATCATGAAAAGTGATAATTTCACTTGAAAAAATTTAGATTTCATCTGTAAAGTCATGTGAAAGCCAAATGAGGTATAAGATGATATAACTGGTTCCACAGGTGAGTCTTACTGCTTTATATTCTTTATATGTATAGTCTTCATGGCTGTTCAACTTTTTTTTAAAAGAAGAAAATGTTTTCTATCTCTAATATTGCCCATATAAAGCCTAACTAAAGTACAATCTCACTCAGGAAACAAGAAGACAAAAGAAAACATTGAAGAAAACACGCAAATTTGTTGTTGATGGTGTGGAAGTGAGTGTAACGACATCAAAGATAGTTACAGACAGTGATTCCAAAACTGAAGAATTGAGGTTTCTTAGGTGAGTGGAGAAACAACATAACTGAAGCTGGTTTTGTGACTTCTTTTTAGTCTCTGCAAAGTCTGAGAGACGAGAGAAAGAAAGACTTGGCTACTTTTGGACTATTCTTTTAAAAATTATTTTAAAAGGTTTTTTTAAAAAAATCATTACTTCAGATGTGTAATTTTGTTATCTTACCCCGTCATTGCTTTACATTTTGTCAGACGTCAGGAACTCCGGGAATTAAGATTTCTTCAAAAAGAAGAGCAGAGAGCCCAACAGCAGCTCAATAGCAAACTGCAGCAGCAACGAGAACAAATTTTCCGGCGCTTTGAGCAAGAAATGATGGTAAAGTCTTAAGATACTTGTACCATTTTGTTAATTATGAAGTTCAGTGTTTTAAGATAAAATCAATTGGTGGTTTAGGTCTTGTTTTCTGATGCCTGGAGTTTTCTGGCTTTGTGATATGTTTTTGTCCTTTGCCTGAAAGGGCTTCCGTTCCGGTCCTATCACTGACTTGTACTGATGGGTGTCCTTATTTTTCTTTGATTAAAATTTGTCATGAAGCCCAGCCGGGCGTGGCTCAGCGGTTGAGCATCGACCTAGGATCCAGGAGATGGGGGTTCAGCTCCCAGTCAGGGCACGTGCCCCGGTTGCGGGCTGCAGCCGATCAGTGACTCTCATCATTGATGTTTCGATCTCTGTCTCTCTCTCTCCCTTACTCTCTCTGAAATCAATAAAGATATATTTAAAAAAAAAAAATTGTCATGAAAACCTGGTACCATGAAGCTAGTAGATGGTTTGCAAAGTTCTTTGGTGTGCCTGTTGCTGGATAATTTTTCAGTGTTCAAGTTGACCTCTCAGATTTGGAATCCAAGATTTTAAGCCGGTCTAGAGCCGTTGTCTCTAAACCTTGCTGAGTATTAGAACTTCTTGGGGGATTTTTCAAGATACCCTTCCCTGGCTGCTATAGTTAAGCTGCCATGTCCCTATTCATAGCTGCTAGATGAATTAGTGCTGACTAGTCAAGGGTAATTGTGACTGAGTCTTTTGGTTTTTACCTTGTGTTCAAAGTTAAAAAAGGAATTAGTAATGTGATAAAACATTTTGATAACTTATGTTGAACATCTAGCTTAATGTAGGTTAGAAAAAAGATAATTTGAAATATTACATTGTTTATGCTTTAAACATAGTTCTTTTGCTCTTCTTTTAATTGTAAGTGCTAAGAATTGTGTGAAGTGTGGTATTGTTGATTATATTTGTTGGGTTATAACTGAGAATTCCTAAGAAAATAATTAACTTTTATTTTCCTCACTGAGTATTTTTATAGTACTTATATTCTATTTTCCAGAACCTTATAAAAGCTGGGTTTCTTTTTCCCCCCAAATATTTTTCAGAATGTTTTGCCTTTTAATTTGTTTAAAGAAAACACTGTTTACAAATATTTAACTCTACTTTTATCCAAAATTGCAATGTTACTCAAGTTTTATATAAAGAGCAATCTTTTGTTGAAAGTGCAGATTTATAATTCCAAAAGATTTGTTTCAATGAAATAGAAGTTTAAGAATCTTAATGAAGAAGAGTAAATCTGAAAATAGATTTACATAATTAAAATAGATTTCAGATAAGACCTTTGATTTATCAAACAACTGATTGTATAAATACTGACATTTTTCTTTCTTTAATACTTCAGAGTAACTGGATGTTCTTTTGGATTGTCTAAAAATTTTGAACATTCTACTACTTGTATAATAGAAAAAAGTACAGTTGGCTCTTGAACGATGCAAGAGTTAGGGGCACTGACCTGCAGCCCTGTCCCCTCCCCAGGGCAGTCGAAAATCCATGTTTAACTTTCAACTGCTTAAAAACTTAACTACAGTTGTCCCTTGGTATCTGTGGGAGATTGGTTTCAGGACCCACCCCCATATATACCAAAAACTGTAGATGTTCAAGTCCCTTCTATAAAATGGTGTAGAACAATGCATACAATAGGCCCTCTGCATCCATGGATTCCCAACTGTGGATCAAAAATACTGTTTTCAGTTTGTGGTTGGTTGAATCTGCCAATGTTAAACCTGGGGATATAGAGGGCCAACTCTATATTTATTGAAAAAGAAATCTGTATATAAGTGGACCTGTGCAGTTCAAACCTGTTCAGGAGTCAACTGTATTTATTTTCCATGTTAGAAGAAAAGAAATGCATGTCTTTGTAAAAAATTTAATATTTTAGTTCATGACTTGCTCAGGACTACAAAGGTTATATATATTACATTACTAAATAAAAATGCTAGTTATGTCTTCCTGACATCTTCATTATAATGAGTTAATATAAGTGATAGAAAAGTTAAATGATCTTGAGCTACATTGTTTCACAGAGCAAAAAGCGACAATATGACCAAGAAATTGAGAATCTAGAAAAACAGCAGAAACAGACTATTGAACGTCTAGAACAAGAACACACAAATCGCTTGCGAGATGAAGCCAAGCGCATTAAAGGAGAACAAGAGAGAGAGTTCTCCAAATTTCAGAGTATGTTGAAGAACCGGAAGAAGGAGGTAAGTGTAACTACTGTTTTTAATTACTAAGGCTATTTTTACTAGTTAAATAGGACTCATTTTTCATTTTTATTTTTGGTCTTCCCAACAGTCAAGTAGGGTGGTGGTAAGGTCAGGTGTTGCCCCATTTTACTGCCAAGGAGACTGGAGCAGAAGAGATTTTAATGGCTTATTCACAAACTACCATTAAATGTCCAGCTAAACATTCAACCAGGTCTTCATTTTCCTTCCAAACTGTCATTTCTCGTTTATTAATGCAACATTTAAGGCCTGTTACAGAAGTATATTTTCAAGAAAACTTAGTGTTTTATTGGCAATAATAATTTATCTTAGTATTTCTTTGTAATATTTAATTCATACTTAAACTTTTTTTATTAACTTGTCTTTCTTGCACATTGTGCCAAAACAGAAGCTGAGTAACCTGAAATTCTAAATAGTATCTATAAATTAATCAAATTGTGAGATACTTTGAAGAATCACTGGTAGAAAATATCTGTAAAGTCATTTGAGTAGAATGAATTTTTTCATTTTTCCTGAAATTGTTTCATATTGTGGTAGAATCTGTTTGTGGTATGAAAGATTGCCATTGACTGAGAAAGAAGACTTATGTATTGTATCAGTGCGTCTTTTTCTCCCCAAGTTAAATAAAACTAAGAGAGCAGTTTTCAGAGGTAATTTATGATTTATTTTATACCTTTAGTGAAGGAGGAGAAATTACCTTTTTATGATTATTAAAGATCCCAGGAATAATAATTATGATCATTACTATTAGATTGGGACCAAGACATCTCAGCCAATCTAGTGAATGTATTTTTACTTTTGTATGCTCTAAATACCCAGCTTCATTGACTCTACTACTTAAATTATGCAGAAAATTGAGCATTGTATTGCTGAACTTGAGGGTCTACTTTAAAAAGGATAGGACCAAATATTAATAAATACAATGTGTTCTATGATTTCTTTAGGTAAAGATGAACAAAATGGTATATAATTTTTTTATGTGGCTACATTTCTAAAAATTACTGTTTTGTCACATTATTATATTTTACATAGAATGGCTCTGTATATCATGATGTATGACTTTTACTGAGGCTACACGTTAATTCTCTTGAAACCACAGGTAGCTTCCATTGAGAGGTTATTTTTAATATCAGATTTAATAAATCAAATTTTCAGATAAATATATGATTTGATCCTAAAGATACAGAAGTCTTTAGGTATTGTTACTGTTTTGGGTAGGAGGGTTTTAGCCAGTGAATATGTTTGAGGTAATGATAATGCATATTTTAAATAATTATATTATGTATTTTTTTCCATATCACTAAACTTCTTGCATTTGGGGAGTCTCTTCCTTTTAATGGTGATTTGGTTTCATGAGGAATTACTGATGGGAAATTTTAAATACAGTGTTAAATCAAAATCATTCTCTTTCATGGACCATCAATAAATAGCATGTGGTGATTTGGAATTGGGTTGCTTTTGGTGCTTCTCCTTGTGTAAATACATGACCGTTTTTCATAGTTGGATTACAGGTCTGTTTTTAGGTGGAATACATATCTAGAATTTTGAAATGATTTAAAAGAAGGAGTTCTAAAATATACTTCATTTTATAATATGCTTTATTGGGTATAAGAAATCAGCATATTAAACTGTTATTTTATGAGTGCTTATATTACTGATTTTAAACTTGACAATTAAGCTTGGCTTAAATTGTCAGCAAAGGAGAATGTTATTCTAATCCAACACAAAATCATCAGATATATTCATTTTTATCACACTGTGTATAAAATGGTGTGTTTAATGAAAAAAGAAAATGTAATATCCATTTGTTTCTCCTTTGTGTATTCTAAGGCTTACTTTCCCTTTTGTTTTTCTTTTGGCCTCATTTAATGGATTTTATTTAAAATTATTTCTTTAGTTTTATCAAACCAATTATGAAATGTTTTGCTTTTATAAGTGGCATTAGCTTTCCTTATGCCCACTATTTCAAACAGTGTCAATAGATATGTTTATAATTTTACGAGGTCAGTGAAGCTTATTACCTTTAGTTCAGCATCAGTGCTGTAAGTAACCCTTTACTGACTGTCTTTGGATCTTTAAGAGGGAATTATATATATAGGGATGATTAAGCAACTAATTAACTTCTACATGGTGTAATGTCCCTTTTCTGCACTGAGATTAAGCATGTTCTGTCCTTTCATTCTTTTTCACCAAACTAACACCTATGCTAATGCTAATGCATGTTCAACTTTTTAACAGCTTTAATATTTCACTTGTAGCTTGTCTGCTCACTTAAATGCTTGCTGTGGAGAAAGTATTATTTCCCCACCTCCTGCATGCTTATACACTGTAGGTTATAAATGAAGTGGAGAGAGCACCCAAAGAGCTGAGAAAAGAGCTCATGAAACGCAGGAAAGAGGAGCTTGCACAAATCCAGCATGCTCAGGTAACAGCAGCAGCTTAATGCTACTAAAAACAGAAAGCAGCATTATTCTCACAGCTCAGTAAACCATGGGTGAAAGGGTAGTTTCTAAGTGTACTTATTATATGGTATTGACTTTTCCTCATAGAAAGGTTCCCAGAGTGTTCTTTACGTAGCACTAAATGCACACTAATGGTGACATTTAAGTTGCTAATAGGAAGTTAAGTGGAATGTTTGGAAAGCTGACTCCAGGTGAAATAAACAAGTATGCTAATGTATAATCCACTGTATTATTATTTTAATCATAATGGAAGCTTACATTTTTAAGTAATAATGTCAGTGTTTGATCAAAGATATTCAGGACAGAAAAATATGGAGGGTGAGTATGAAGAGAATGCCTATTATTTCTAAAAAGTTCAAAGTTAAAATATAGTGTAATGTTAAATGGTAGATCAAACATGTATTACTGTTAAACTCAACTACAAAAGTAACTTAAGACTCAATTTTAAATATTAAGTCTTTTGTTTTTCTTTTTGACTCAGAATCTAGAGTTAAAAATAAAATAGACTGTTTTTACCCATATAAATTTGATTCTAGCTTATAAGGCTGAGCCAATTAAGATGGGTGAATTCTTTATTAAATTAGGTAAATTAGTATTTTCAGCATATTCTTGTAGAATTGTTTCATATGACTCTACAAGGTTTATACTAGGAATCAACTTTCTTTTAATTAAGTTTGTACTCAGCCTGGAGGCAAGGAAAAGTGAGTTTAATTTGTAGTTACGTATGTCAATGAAAAGAAGAGACATGGAATATATATTAACTGTTGTTTTATATTATCTTTTTAATGTGCTTTTGTGTAACTTAAAAAGTGGTGTCTAGACTTTTAAATTTTACATACCCATGAAAAGAAACATAAAAATAACCAAAAACATTGGAGGCCATGACAAATGGATTGCCATTAAAAAAAATTTATTTTTGCCAAGTTAGGATATTTTAAAACTGCATTTACTTGTCACCATCATTTCAAAGGAAAGACTATTTTAACACCATGAAAAATAAGAAAAATATCTCAGAATTTAAGATTTTAATAGTGAAAAGTTTGTCTTGGCCAGTGTGGTCACTAAATAGCAAACAGCATTTACTGTGTCAAGCACTGTTCTAAATGCTTTACCTGTATAAACTCATTTAACCTCACATCATATGAGGTAGTTACTCTTATTACCTCCATCCTACAGTGAGGGAGCTAAAGCATAGGAAGGTCGAGTGACTTTTCCAAGGTCACACATCTGGTTAATGTAGAACCAGAATTTCTGTCCAGGCAGGTTTGGTTCCACATTTCATACATTGAACCACTGTACCATGCTGCCTCTCATATTTAAGCAACGCTTTCTGTGCCAAATCTAAACTCTAACCAGCCTAGCTTAGTCGTTGTTGGCCATGTCTTGTTATTAGGTGAAAAGGAAGTCCTTGCTGGTTGTACATACATTTTTGGATAATTTGGATTTCAAACCAGATAATAATAATAATAATAATAATAATAATAATGATGATGATGATGTTTTTGCCTTGTAAAGGAATACAGACTGGTTAAATTCCCAAAGGTAATATATCAGACTGTAGAGTTGAAGTCGAGAATTTAGTGTTGAATGAATTGGGTGATCCTTCGCTTTAGTGAAACTTTGTTGGCGATTATTCATATAATTTTGAGTGCTAGCCTGTATTTTCCAACAGAAGCTAAAAGCAATAATACATTTTTGGGGGGTAAATTTAATAAAGGAACTTAGTAGTCTAACAAATTCAGAAGTATTTCTCTTTAGCTACTGCTAAAACTTGGTTACAGAGTCTATTTTAAACATTTTTGAGCATTTATAAATAATAGCCACATAGTCATGGAGCTAGAATATATTTGATCATCTGGTCCAGTGGTTTTCAAATTGTGTTTCCAGGAGCTCTTGAGTTTGGAAGAAGCACCTCGAGATTCCTTCAAAAAGTGAGGACTGTGGGGCTCTGGGGCCCAGCTTCCACTTCAACTCAAGCAGCACTACTTTTTATCTGTTTTATAAGTTTTATGTATTTTTGGTGAGTTTTTAAAAAGAAGGTTTGACTGATTTAAAAAACAGCACCAGCAAACTAGAGTTGGAAACCACTGATCTAGTTCAAATCCTTCATTTTACAGAGGAGAAGGAGGCCCCTCTGTTCCAGGCCTCAAGAAACTCAACATTTGTATTATTATTTTTCCATTTACAAAAAGTCATTCAACTATATTCTCACCTGGGAGGTGCGCTGTATTCTGATCCACAGGGTCTTGCTCAGGTCATGATTCAGTCTTTTCAGTTGTCATCTTGTGCAGTCTTCAACGCCCAATTGCAGGACGTAAGTCCCGCGTGCCTGTAGGAGGATGCCTTCTCCTGTTTTCCCTGCTGTCTCTGGCTCACATGTGCCTTTTCAGTGCTAGCTTTATTCGTTAAAATCTTAGAAGATCGATAGATGATAATGTCAGTAATGACAAAACAATGGTAACTTGACCTCTATAGAACAGTGTTCTTCAGTTTTCACATTTGATCCTTACTGCCACCGCCCTAATGTAGGGATGGAGTGTATTCATTTTACAGATGAAGAAATCAAGGCACAGAAGTCAAGTGACCTGCCTGAAGTCACCAAGAGATTAATGGTAGATCTGAACTAGAATACTTCTAATACAGTGTTCTTTTCTGTCTACCTGAGCACAAATTTTAACTTTGAGATTTTCATATTTTTCAAGACATATCTTCCCAATAGTATTTTATGAGCTTTGCACATGTGAGAAATGGAATGCTGTGATCAGGTTTTCATCTTTGTGTGAAGTGACATTTTGATTGCGTATATGTAGATGTTTTGATTATGGATATGGTCAGAAAAGCCCTATTAAAAGTGGTGATTTTAGTTCCATTTAACTCTAGTTTTCACTATTCAAATTGCCCGTAATGAATAGTGAGTGGCTATCCTCTTTGTTGTAGTTTTAAATTAAGTCTGGAATTCCAGGCTGTATTCTCTCTCTCAGTTTTTATAGGAAAGCGGCTAGCTCACTTAACACTGTAATTTTTGTTTGTGATGCTTGATATACAAAACTGGAGTAGATAGAATACAGCTTGATTTCAACCCCTTCGTTTCCCCTCTCCTGAAATTAGACTTTTTTTTTTTATTGGCAGCTGTTGGACTCTATAGTTTTCTAAAAGAGTAAACAAAAAAAATATTTTTTTAACGAGAGGGAGAAATTATGAATTACGATCACTTTTCTGATCATTACCATTTTTAGTTTTTCTTTTGCATTAAAATGATCAAATTCTGTACAAATAGCCCAATATATCATAACCCTTTCTTACAGTTTTCTAGAACCCAAAGTTGTATTTTTCATGTTCATAGCTGTCTTAATATGATAAAGTTACTTATCAAAATTCAAACTTGTACATTTAAAGGGCACTCATTTTACAATTCATGTGTCCATTTAAAAATTATTTATTACTCCTAGTAATCAGACTCGTTTCTTAATATTTTATAGGATGAATGTAATTTGTACAGTCTTTTTGAAATGTAACATCACTTTTCATGTAGAGCCTAAGAGTAATTTCTAATTAAAAAATCCCACTGTGACGATATTATATTTGGCTTTTGAAGGAAATTTAATGAAAATGCAATAATATTAAAATTTCATTTCTTTTGAGGTAATAAAATATATTAGTATGTAAGGGATCTTTCAGGTAATTTTTAGCTTTACTGTAAAAAATTATTTGTGCATTATCCTTGACTATGGAATCGTCCAGACTCGGCTTAATTATTCAAGTCTGTAGCTCTGTAAGGCAGCTGGTGTTTTTCCTAGCTCTGGTTGTTAGCAAGCACTTCCATATGTTGCCTACTTTGACTCTTACCTGGCGATTTGTATTTTGCCTTCTGGAGCAGAGCAGTGCAGCTCTGTCTGCTTTTATACAGTCTTAGCTCTTCTTTTCCCTCACTTGTTGTGAGCTGCTTTGCAGCATGCTTCTGTAGCTCCCTCGGGCATTCATTGTATAGGATGGTTTCTGGACCCTTTATTCCCAGTGTTGAGTTTTCTGTGGTATACTTTTGAACTTTTAAAAGTGCAATATTAAGAGAAGGGGCCCACTATTGCTTAATAAAGGTTTTCTTTTAATTTAATTATTATATTATTTATCTAGACATAAATATGTTATAGTAATGTGACCAAAAATTGCGCTGACAAGAAATTATATTTCCGTGGCACTGGTTTGTATATACTTTTAAATTTTCACATAAATATGTATTCGTCCTATCTTGTACTTTTGCAATAGAGTTCTTTGAGCCTAAATGTGATATTTGTATTTATGCTGGCTAATTTGGACCCATTGTTTCTGTACACAACACACATTTTATTATTATTATTTTTTAAATATATCTTTATTGATTTCAAAGAGAGGAAGGGAGAGGGAGAGAGAGAGAAACATCAGTGATCCGCTGCCTCCAGCATGCCCTCAATTGGGTATCGAGCCCGCATCCCGGGCATGTGCCCTGACGGAATCGAACTGAGATCTCCTGGATCCTAGGTTGATGCTCAACTGTTGAGCCACACTGGCCGGGCCATATATATATATATCCTCACTTGAGGATATATTTTCTTGTTGATTTTTAGAGAGGAAAGAAGAGACAAAGAGAGAAAAAGAGGAGAGAGAGAAAAAAGAGGAGAAAGAGAAGAACATCAATGTTAAACATCAATTGGTTGCCTCCACTATGTGCCCTGACCAGGGATTGAACCCAAAACCTTTTGGTGTATGGGGTGATACTGCAGCCAACTGAGCCACCTGCCCAGGGCCATGCATTTTTTTTTTTTAAAGTTCTTTATGCAAACCAATGGCAAAAATGTTCAACAAAAGAGAACTCTGTGATATGTGTGCAGGTTAATGTAAGTTTATTTAACAAGTTTGCATGTAGAAATTTTATAATGAAATTAGAAAAACAGTTTTTATTACAAGTGATATTTATTTTAGGACAAAGAGAAATTTGAACAACTTTCTTTGTTGTAGCTGCTTAAAAGACAGATTTTTGCATCTCTTTAAAACTCAAAAGGCCTTATTCTATGTAGTTTAAATGTTTGTTTATTTTTTGCTGTGATAAAGTTATATAGGTGTCTGTAGTCAAGTTGGCAATTGTATTTTATAGAGGCAATTCATTAGTATTTTTTGTACTGTATATTTACATTTATGCTAAAATACAAATTAGGATGCAGATGAGACAGCAGCATTCCTGACTCGGAGTTAATTTAACAGGGCGTCATGGATGCCAAGACCCGATTCTTACCTCCAGAGACAGTAGTAAGGCAGGCGTCTCGAGGAGCACTGCTAGACTTGTTCTTTGTGCGTTGAAGGCCAGGTGGGTTGTGATCTAGATCTGTGAGACTCTGTTTAAGGCCTAAAAAATAGTTCCAAAAAGGATCTTGGGGTTTTATCTTCTCTAGGATGTACAAGAGGAGGGATTATAGGTGAAGTGGAGCTTTGACACTAAATTTTAAAACCCACACTCAAATTAATCAGGATATCCTTTGAGCTAATTGCACACTGCTGTAAACTGCCAAGAGAGGGATGGAGATCCAAACATTTACTGGCAAAATTTACATTTCTTCAATTTAGATATTGTTCCTTTTCTTCAGTAAATGTATATTCTAGCACAATGACCATAAGTCACTTTAACATTTCCTTTCTTACACAGTAACCAAAGGATATTTTTAAAGCATAAATTTGGCATTTAAGCAAGTAGTATGTACACTTAGTCAATATTTGTTAAATGAGTGAGTGAATCCCAAACATGTTAGTAATGTTCTCTGATTGTAAGGAATTTTGTTTATAGATTTATAAATGTAGCTCAGTTTCCTATTCCTAGGTCACATTTCTCTGGCAATGCACTCTTTCTTATTAAGTCCTCAAACTATTCTTTTTAGGCACAGGCTGTCGATATAGAAACTGTCTTTCTCTCTTAGTGTAGGCATGGTATTTCTTCCTGATTCTTTATTTGTTAGAAAAATGGAGAGTTTAAAATTCTGGTATCTGTTTTACTTACTTGCTCTTCATTGCCTTTCTCTCTAAAGGGCATTTCGTGCTTGTTCATGCTTATCCACACCATCGTGGGATGGATAGTCGGTTTTAAAGGATGTAAATTTATTTCCCAAAGATGTCATTGTAACAGGGCATTTAAATTATGAGTGGATAATAGACTTTTTTGTATGCTTAATAATGAGTTCAGAATAATATGTATTTTGGTACTTTTTTCTGGGCTTGAATTGACTGATTAATACATTTATATATACACTGTATAATCTTGGTATTTAAAAAATTTCACTAACTTTAGAAACTTGGTTTAGAAATCTTGATAACCATGCAGTCATATATATGCAGTCATATAGCTAAATGGATGTTTTGCTTAGTAAATACTTATTAACTGATGGTTAACTATGTCTAATAGGAACAAGAGTTTGTTCAGAAGCAACAGCAGGAATTAGATGGCTCTCTGAAAAAGATCATCCAGCAGCAGAAGGCAGAGTTAGCCAATATTGAACGAGAGTGCCTGAACAACAAGCAGCAGCTCATGAGAGGTGCGTGAAATTACACAGCACATGTGTAAATGTGGAGTAGCTCAGAGACGTTGCTCAGATGCACCTTGAAAGTTATTTGAATGCTTTCCTTTGCCAGAGTGGTAGAGGGAAAGATAAAGAAAGTTGAGGTAAATAAGAGGGGAAAAAATTATAAAATTAAGAAACACCGTGAGATACAGAAGTCCCTTATGACTGTAGGAGTGAACATAAACTTAATCCTCAAAACACATTTTTGTCCAGATGATGCTAGAAATATACCTGAATAATTTATATACTCATTATGTCTTATAATTGTTGGTATACTTAATGGCTATATGATAGAATGGGATTTTAAGCACTTAGTTCCCCTAAGAAATAGCTTACATTTATTTTTTTAATTTCTCATGAAGGTGATGAAATGGAATTTTGGTATTGGGGGTGGGGCACTCTCTGTTACAGGACCTTAGAACAGAACTGAAAGTACTAATAGATATTATCTTTACGTTGGTAATATTTCATTTATAGCTCAGAATTTCAGCATGTGTATGAGTTAATGTATATAGAACACTTTTATGTAAATTTATGTAAATATTAAAGTGAAGACCAAAGTACATTAGTAAAAAGGTCAAAGTGATATTTTGAAAACTGCTTTCTTCTTCTAGCTCGAGAAGCTGCAATTTGGGAGCTTGAAGAACGACACTTACAAGAAAAGCACCAGCTGCTCAAACAGCAACTTAAAGATCAGTATTTCATGCAAAGACATCAGTTACTTAAGCGCCATGAGAAGGTTAATGAAAGGAAAATTTATTTACTTTTTTGTTCATTTTAAAGTTTGCAGAGTGAGAATTTTATTTTTGAAACTTATATTTCTTAGAGAATGCATTTCAGATTTCTTTATTTTATCCTAAAATGTCTTTGATGAAGTTTGGAGTAATTAATTATATGTTGAGCATGATTGCAAACTTTTCTACAAACTCCATGGAAGGTAACTAATTATAATGCCTAATGACCTTGATATCTTCATCTTGTTCTCAAAGGTAGCTATTGTGGCTCTATTTATGGTTCAGGTATCTCAAAAATGTGGACTCCCTGTACTTAGTAAAAGGGAGCTTCAACATAAGACTCTTATTACTAATAGTTTTGTTTTTCTTATAAATTATTTTTTGCCTAATATTTTGCCAATTTGTATGCAGCAAGGAAGAGAGTAATCTTGGGAAACAACACCAGCAAAATGGCATGTTTGAGCATATGCGTGGGTACTGAGTATTAAATTATATCTACATCACTGGATTCTGTTTAAAACTTTCTTAGGAAACGGAACAAATGCAGCGTTACAATCAACGACTTATTGAGGAATTGAAAAACAGACAGACTCAAGAAAGAGCAAGACTACCTAAGATTCAGCGCAGTGAAGCCAAGACTCGAATGGCCATGTTTAAGAAAAGTTTGAGAATTAACTCCACAGCCACACCAGATCAGGACCGTGAAAAAATTAAACAGGTAAATAAGCAAATTACTCTATTTTAGGTTAAAAAAATTTGAATGATGTTTAGACATGTCACATAATTGTGCTGTAAACATTTAGAGCCACCTTGCATTTATTGATGTTCACTTTGACTCTGTGGGTTGGGGCTACTAGATATGTGGCATGTACCAACTTAGTCTTCCTAGGGTGGTGATGACAGAGGGCAGAGCCCTCCCTCCCATGCCCCACACCAGATCCTGGACTATACTGTTCCTAAGACTAGCCCTGGGAATGAGATGACTTGGACAACTTTTTAAGTAAAAATATATGGCCTTACTGTATTTCTATAATCACAGGTTCCACACACAGAGTAACTGAGGTCACTGAGCAGGTAGGAGGAAGAAAGTTTTAGTCAGAAGTCCTCCCTTCCTATCATACAGACTCCAGCTTTGAGTCACAGCATATTATTACATGCAGCTCTAATTTATTGTACTTTAAGGTTTGGTAAATTCCTTAATTATGCCTTTGGAAGATGCAGAAATTACATTGCTTGTTAACCATATTTACTTTTACTTTTCTTATTTATAGTTTGCTGCTCAGGAAGAAAAGAGGCAGAAAAATGAGAGAATGGCTCAGCATCAAAAACATGAAAATCAAATGCGGGATCTTCAGTTGCAGTGTGAAGCCAACGTCCGAGAGCTGCATCAGCTGCAGGTTAGATACAGGAGCACGAAGACAAAACTGGTAGACGGACAGCACAGGTTTTGGGGAAAGGATAGCTAACCGAAGTAAACTGCACCTTACTCATGAAAATGCTGGGATTTGTTCCTCTGTAGACCCAAATGACAATCACTTGTTTAGATTTTCTATAACTATGGTTAATATAGCATGAAGCTAAATTATAACCTCAGAAGTTGAATCTTTCAAAAGCAGTATTGAGTATTTTTAATATATTTTGCAAAGAAGATGAACAAAGTTTTCAAAGTGATGTAAGCAGTTATGTCAGATTCTGAATTTGAAATTTCATTTAGGGAGAAATAGTTCATTTTCTTCTAGGTTTATGAAAAAGGTGATAAACTAAGCCTATGAGACTTTTTCCCTAAGAAATTTAAAGGTTACTTTAGAGAGGATTATATTTGGACCTTACTTGGAATTCACAGCACATCTAGTATATAGCCTAAAGTGTTTAAAACTTCAGAGTAGAGTATGCGTTGTGGATACTTTACGTAGTTGCCTAATTTACCAGAGCAGAAGAGTTCTGAATCCTATGTTTGGCACCAGCAGGTACAATGCATACAAGCTGCCTCCTGAAGTGTCAGTTTTATGAGCAAACCTTTGAAAGGGAAAGCAGGATCAAACTAATTCTTTCTCTTTCAGTTCTTTTCATGTGGTAATAGACCCAGCTTCTGAACTTCAAAAATGAAGCTATGACTCATTTCATAATTCTTGGCCCTTGGTTTTTAGAGGAGAATTTAAACCTCAGTAATTGCCTAGTGTTTGATGAATAATTTATTATTTTGGAAGATAATTATGTTTGTGAAAAATTGCTTTGTTGATCTGAAGTTTTTTAATCCAAACTTTATTTTCAGAATGAAAAATGCCACCTTTTGGTTGAGCATGAGACTCAGAAACTAAAGGAGTTAGATGAGGAACACAGCCAGGAATTAAAAGAATGGAGAGAGAAACTGAGACCTAGGAAAAAGGTAATTTAAAAAGTTTTAATTAAAATATGTTTGCATTCGTCCGTCCGTCCATCCATCCATCCATCCACCCACTCATCTTCCCAGCTGTTGGCTCTTTACCTATATATGTCAGGAACAGGAGATACAGAGGTGAGGAGACAAAGTCTCTGTCCCCCGAAGTTCAGAATCCAGTGACAAGCAATTACAGATCAGTAGGATCATTGCTCTGAGGGAGTTAAGTTCAAGACACAGGAGAGGAGCACAGTGAGCAAGCAAAGGAGGGGGAGTGCTGCAGTCTGCCTGAGGGCCTAGGAAGCTTTAGAGAGAAGACACCTTGTGAGGCGGGTGAGGCTCGAAGGATGAGTGAGAGCTGACTGGGTGGACAGATGGATTGGGGTGGGATGAGGCAGTTGAAGTACAGAGAAGAGAATGAGTGCAGTTGATGTGCAGGAATTGTAAGCGGCTCATATCATTCGAGCATTAGGGGTGCGTGTTTCTGTGCAGTGTAGGGTGTGTAGGCATTCGAGAGGGAAAGAAGGAAGGAAGGAATGACTGCTTGTTCTAGACAGGCTAACAGGAGCCAGATTGCAAGGCCATTGGGTGCTACATAATTGGACAGTCTAATAAAATAGGAATGGCTTCCCCTCCTTTATCTAACCAGCCAGCCAGATTCCTTATTTGCTCTGGACTCCCTGAGAGCTTGGTCCAGTTGGTCAACCATTTAGTGTTTGCTATCACTATCTGATCCTCTCCCTTTGTTAACTCTCAAACTTTAAACCTTTATTTTCTCTTGGGTTTCTTGCCTGCTATACATGTCAACCATTCCTTTCTTTTATTCATCCAATTAACCAATTACAAAAATATGTTTTTAGCACCTACTATGTGTTAGGGGTTTCTAGAGGAAATGAAATGACCATGTCAGTTGATAGTGTGGCTTTTTAATTTAAATTTTATTTATTGTTAAATTCTTGAATAGGTAATAGGTTCATGTGGTTCAGAATTCAAAAGGTGTGGAAGAGTAAACAGTGAGAAGTCCCTTTCTCTAGTTTCTTTTAACTCTTTGCAGTCTAGCTTTCATCTCAAACTCCCAAGTTGAACTTTAGCAGGTCACAAGTGAGTTTCTAATAACCAGATCCCATGGCATGATCTAATTTCTGATTAAAAATCTTGTTTCTTAAAATTCTCTTCTCCCCTGACTTTTGTGACATACTCTCTTCTTTGTGCTCTTTATCACCTTTGTCTTCTGGTCACCTGAAATGTAGGCATTTCCCAGTTTTACATCCTTAGCTCTTTTCTTTACCTTGATGATCTCGTAGCTAGTCATGGCTTCAGCTGTTGCATTTTTAAGGACAGTCCCAAAACTTGTGGAGAAGGGGGTGTATAGAGCACAAATTCAGATCTGGATTCAAATCTCAGTGTCGACACTGATTAATTTTGTCACTTAGCATTTCTAAGCCCAGTTCTCCTTATTGTAAAACAGGAACGCCACTGCATGTCTTAGTGGGGTTAAGACGGGTGAAAGAAGCGATGTGTGCACAGCAGCAGTCCCAGGACTTGAGCGTGGTCAGGATTCAGTGAATGGTTGCTATTGCTGCTATTGTTTATTGTTTTACTATTTTTGGTTCATTCTCAGGGCTCTTGTTTTCCACCTGGATGTTCCACTCCTCATTTCACTCAGGCCTCTGCTCCAATATCACCTCATCAAAGGTTCTTTTCTTTGATCACTATATATAAAATAGACTCCATGCCCTTTCATTACCACCAGATACATTTGTTTATTGTTTGTCTTCTCTCACAGGAGCGTAGGCTCCTTGAAAGCCAGGACATTATCTCTTTGGTCACTGATATATATACCTAACTTCCAGAATAGTTCCTGCAAGTTGTAAATGATCATTATTCACCTGTTGAATGTTGACTAAAGATTGTAAACTCAGTGGCGATAAAACTAAACACCCTTTTTTCTTCATCTTCATCTTCATCTCACCCGTTCCCCCTCTCTGCATCCCACCCATCAACAGATTTCTTCCCACATTTCTATTCTCTTATTTGACATCTGGGCTAGAAACCTGAATTATTTTTCATTTCCATGATACCCCGTATTTAATCATAATATTTCTCTTTTTCATATTGTTATCTTACTACTTGCTTACAGTTCAGTAATGTCCTAATGGGCCTTCTGGTGTCTAGTTCCCTTTCCTTTTTCCTACTTGTCTGCCATCCCCAGAACATGGACCCTCAAGAGCATCTCTGATACTGTTACAGTGGTACTGGGAAAACTTGAGTTCTAGCAGAAAAAAATGTAAATGCCTCAGTCTGACTTTTAAGCCTTATAGTGCCACACATTGGCCACAGTCAACCTTTGTAGCTTCATCTCCCACTAACCGCTTTGTTCCCAGTTCATGTTCCAGCATTGGGTGTAATCACCGTTGCTCACACCACCTTGGCAGTTTCCTGCCTCTGCGCTGCTTCCGCTCCCTCTGTTGGCGTGCCTTCCCTCCTGCCTATCAATTTCTTATCTTTCCTTCAAGACTAACTCGTTTCATTTTTTTCTGAGAAACCTTGTAACCTTCCATCTTCTATGCTTTGATTGCCCTCTATGGCAGCACTTTATCCCTGAGTCTCTTATCCGCAAAGTCATTGATACCTCAGATATTTATCAAGCACTTATATTTGCTCTGCATTGTGGGGACGTAAAGATAAATCTGATTTAGGTTTTACCTTCAGACAGCTTATAGTCCAGTGTGGGAGAAAAGATATGCACATCAATAATCAAAATAAAAAATAGAAAATGCTAAGTCCAGATGGGAGTGACAGATAGTAGTTAAGAATAGGTGCCATCTACGGAGTGCCAGGTATGTATAAAGTACCTCATCATCACATTTAACCCTCACACAGCAACCCAGTGGGGTAAGTAGTGTTTTCCCTGCTTATGGAAGAAGAGTGAAATGATTCTGTAAGATAGAGAAGTTAAGTAATTGACTCAAGTTAGCCATTAGTGTGGCTGTGCCCAGCCTTTGATCCTAACTATCAAGCAGCCTGGTCTTCCGTAGGATAATATACAGAGAATGTGTTTGGGGCAAATAGCTTTATCTTGGCTTCCACAGTAAATTCTGTTTGTAATACCAGTACATAATTTCCTTTTCGCTTCCTTTTTAAGACACTGGAAGAAGAATTTGCCAGGAAACTGCAGGAACAGGAAGTGTTCTTTAAAATGACCGGGGAGTCTGAATGCCTTAACCCGTCAGCACAGAGCCGAATTTCCAAATTCTATCCTATTCCAAGCTTGCATTCCACTGGCTCGTGACCCTGGGAAGCGTTCTGTGGTCTGGTTTGGCTTTTAAAATATGTCATTTTATTCTCTCCATCTGCCACAGTCTGCGGTAGAGTGCACGAAGACAATCACCTGCCTCACCTCCTAGGTGTTTTTTTGTCTGTCTTGTTTGTTTAGCAGAGATGAAGGGAAAGGAACTAACAGATGCTGGGCCATGTTGGCGTAGCAGCATCCTGCAGTAATTCCCTAAGGTAATTCTGTATATTAATCTTAAAAATTGTGTTCTTTAGACACTGTTACCTGAAAAACTCTTAGAGATATAATGTTTAAACTTATTTAACACAAAAACCTGTTATGTCACTTAGTATTGGCAAATATCTTTTTTCTCAATGAGGCCTGAATTCTATAGTTGAAGCTCTGCTGTAGAGAGTTGCAATAATTTTCTTTTGGTAGATCAGCTGTCATGAAAAAGCTATGAGTTGCTCAAAATAGAATACCGATTCATTAAATAAATCAATTTTATCTTTAAATATTTAAAAGAGAAAAATTATTTCAGTAATCTAAAATAATTACCTGTTTAGGCATGAGCTAACAATCAAGGGTGCTAATTTTATTAAGATAGTGCCTAAAACACTAAATTTCAATTGAATCTAAAATAGGATTTTCTTCTTTGATTCAACAGGGACGAAACATCCTTAGTATTAAGCATTATTGTTTTTTAAATCTTGCTTCTATTACCACTTGATAGAATTTTCATCCTAAAGCATGTTATACAAAGTTGGAAACATGAAAAAAAAAAAGATAGCTTTTAGATAGCCAAGTTGGAAATGTAAAACTCACCAAATTAAAAAAAATAACATGGACTTAGTTTTCCCAGCTTAATTTTTTAAATAATACATGAGCTAGTTAAATGACATCTTCCATCTTAGCAAATTCTGTTCATTGAAAACTCTATCAGAGGCCTGCTGGCTTTGAGTTATATTTATAAATGTATTTTTTTGAAATTGATTTTAAAAGAGGCATTTATTCAGAATACTTTAAAAACAATTTAAGTAAAATATTTAGGTAAATGTTGGAAATGACGTAGTTGTTTTGAAATAAAGTCATTTATATTTTGGTTTTATTTTGTTCCATGTTTAAATTATTTACTTTGAGTGGGAAAAGCCTGAAACCTTTATCATATGGTTGCTGATATGTGTAATTATTAATGAAATGCTCACTCTTAGTCCCTCTTGAGGCTTAGAATTTCAAGCACGTGTCAGGTCAAACAGTATTATGGACTGTACTGTGGTGTGTGAGACAGTAAGTGATGCTTGCTGCCTGCCATTTGCAACCTTTTTTAAGAGTACTAGGTACCAAATTATACACGTTTCGGTTTTTGTTATATTACATTTCATGCTGGTGAAAATTTAAATATAACTGTGGGAACACTTGGAACACTTAATTCATATTAAGAAAATGTAAATATCTGTAGCACTTTCTTGCAGTTAATTTGAAAACGTTGAATGCTGAACCTTGTCAGTGGTTTAGATGATTTAAATGCATGTGTAATTTTCTTTTTGTAATTGTTTTGACAAGCATAATTTACTTGGACAACTTTGTAGGTAGCCTTAACTTCTGGCCAAGTTTGTTTTTTATATAAATATATACATATATATATATACACTCACACGCATATATTATGTATGGTTGTAAGTTCATACACCTGTCACATGAATGTGTTACTGTATACAAAACTCCTTCAATGCTTTATTCTCAAATGCTGGGTTGAAAAATGTTTTGAAAGCCTTTTAAAATATAAATCTTTATAAAGTAATATTCAGGATGATGGAAATTGATTATGTTATGATAAAAATGGCAGTATAAAGTTCCTCAGTGTATTTAATGATTTATTTGAAGAGGGAAAGAGGAGGAAGGTTCTCAGACCACTTTCTCCTTTTGAAATTTCCAGTATCATTTAAATTATATCCTGTGTGCTTAATAGTCTGCGGCACATAATCCCTTTGGCCTGTGTATTTGGTTCTGTTTGTCTCTTTCAAGTTGACACTCAGAGTATTGAGTAAAGGAGAGTGACTCGGAGTAGAATGATTGACATTCTGGTCAGTTTATTTGCAACTGTCGCATCTGCCCTTTGGGTTCAGTATTTATTATGCTCGAGTCTTCTTTCAAAAATGACCGTATTGATGTGGGCCCAGGACTACAAAATGATACGTATGTAGAGGTGAAATGTTCATTTTAATAATTAAAGTTTATAAGTCTTTTCAAAAAGTGCTGTTACAGAATATGCTGTTCGTGCCCATCCCGCCTGTTTCTTCTTAGGCCCTGTACTCACATAGATGATGGTGAGCTCTCTTTCTTGCATGTAGTGCAGGTGGGGAGCAGGGAAGGGCACAGACTTGTTTGAAATCAAAGAATACAGTCGGCCCATTCCCGATTTGGTGGCTGCTGCCGTGGCAGAATGTGCTATGAAGTGCATAAAACAAGTTCTTCATACGCGCACCCTAATCGCTCACGCTCCCCTCTGCCCTGCGTGCTGTGAGCGCACCAGACCGCCACACTCTGCAGGCCCAGCTCAGCTCGTTGCACCAGGTTGCCTTTCCTAGTCCTGTCAATCCATAGTTGAGTGTGAGTTGCTGAATTAGCTGCTATTCTATATGGAGTCACAATTAAGCTTTTTCTTACCCTTTTCTATGGGGAAGCTGTAGGGTGAGTAAGGAGGAAATTGAGTGCTTATACTTTGCTGAAAATATTAGAACTTTCCTCTGACAGTATACAGCAAATTGTAATTAAATATAAACCAGAACCAGAGCTACCTCTAAGTAGTGTTTCCTCAAGCACAAAGCTCTCAGGCATATGAGACCCACTTTAACGGAGGGTCTCTGATTTCTCAAGCATCAGCGAGTTTCAGAAGCAACTGTCTTTTGTACTCTTCTAAGTTCCCTTGTAACTACACACTTTCCCCCATTCCACACTGTGCTTAAATGACAAAGACTCTTCTGAGAAGCCAAATTCTGTCAAACGATTAGCTAGAGATAGTGTTGATTAAAGGAAAACCTAGAACTGAGGTGAAAGAGGAGAGTTAGTTCTAGCTCTAATAGTCTTCTGATTAAATAAATTAATTCTTTTCTGGGAAATGATCTTTTATAGGAAATGGGATATTTTAAATGCTTACGTTTAAGGCACAGCAGTTAATGCCTCTATTGTTGCTTTTCTGTGGCTGACATGGTTTTGATACAGCTTTACAATTTCTGCTACTAAGCTTTCGTAGAATGTTATACCAGTTTTAAATGTTGGCTGCAGCTTTTCGTGATCCTTCTTTGATTTGCAGTGTAATAACTTCACAAGCTAAATGTTCAGAAGGAATTTTGTTTCAGATTATGCCTCTTGTCTACTTGGGAGCAATGTGTCTTTTCAATCATGGGATTGACAAATGAAAAATAAAGTTGTTTCTTAATCTATGTTGAGAAAACCGTCTTTTATTGAGAACCGTTGAAACTGGATTCATGTGTGAGAATGTTATGCAGCTTTTTTTTTTGGTCCAAGTTATATTGTAACACTTGCAGTCCTGCAGGTCTTCTGACCCTTTCAGGCTTATTAGAGGTGCTTAAAATACTGCCACCAACATATGTACATATTTTTTATTTCCCTTTTCCCTTTGGGATGGGTTATTTTTCTCAACAAACATTTCACAAGCCATATGACCTCACTTTTGCTAAAAATAAAAATAACCTATTTTTGTCATTGATATGTTCATGCAAGATTCAGTAGACACTAGGCAGCATCATCTAGCTAGTGTTCAGCTTCACTGGATGGAGGCAAAGCATGTCATTTTCTAATCCTGGAGCACTGTACACTATTGAGCTCATTCTTAACTGTTGTTTTTTCTTCAAAAGAGCCCGCCGGGTGTGGCTCAGTGGTTGAGCATTGACCTAGGATCCAGGAGATCACAGTTTGATTCCTGGTCAGGGCACATGCCCGGGTTTCGGACTCGATNCCTAGAACTGAGGTGAAAGAGGAGAGTTAGTTCTAGCTCTAATAGTCTTCTGATTAAATAAATTAATTCTTTTCTGGGAAATGATCTTTTATAGGAAATGGGATATTTTAAATGCTTACGTTTAAGGCACAGCAGTTAATGCCTCTATTGTTGCTTTTCTGTGGCTGACATGGTTTTGATACAGCTTTACAATTTCTGCTACTAAGCTTTCGTAGAATGTTATACCAGTTTTAAATGTTGGCTGCAGCTTTTCGTGATCCTTCTTTGATTTGCAGTGTAATAACTTCACAAGCTAAATGTTCAGAAGGAATTTTGTTTCAGATTATGCCTCTTGTCTACTTGGGAGCAATGTGTCTTTTCAATCATGGGATTGACAAATGAAAAATAAAGTTGTTTCTTAATCTATGTTGAGAAAACCGTCTTTTATTGAGAACCGTTGAAACTGGATTCATGTGTGAGAATGTTATGCAGCTTTTTTTTTTGGTCCAAGTTATATTGTAACACTTGCAGTCCTGCAGGTCTTCTGACCCTTTCAGGCTTATTAGAGGTGCTTAAAATACTGCCACCAACATATGTACATATTTTTTATTTCCCTTTTCCCTTTGGGATGGGTTATTTTTCTCAACAAACATTTCACAAGCCATATGACCTCACTTTTGCTAAAAATAAAAATAACCTATTTTTGTCATTGATATGTTCATGCAAGATTCAGTAGACACTAGGCAGCATCATCTAGCTAGTGTTCAGCTTCACTGGATGGAGGCAAAGCATGTCATTTTCTAATCCTGGAGCACTGTACACTATTGAGCTCATTCTTAACTGTTGTTTTTTCTTCAAAAGAGCCCGCCGGGTGTGGCTCAGTGGTTGAGCATTGACCTAGGATCCAGGAGATCACAGTTTGATTCCTGGTCAGGGCACATGCCCGGGTTTCGGACTCGATTCTCAGTAGGGGGCGTGCAGGAGGCAGCCGATCAATGACTCTCTCATCATTGATGTTTTTCTCCTTCTCTCTCCCTTCCTCTCTCTGAAATCAATAAAGACATATTTAAATAAATAAAAAAATAAGTAGAAACAAAAGAGGCTCAGAGTCATTGCCCTCAGCTGAGGACATTATCTTCCCATTTTCTTTCTGGGTTCTGTTCGGAGAAGGTAAGCAGGTTTGGACTTTCACCTATTTCACGTGGTCTTAGGACTCTATGAAGACTTTGGATAGCTTAGAAAGGTCAGTCTAGTAAGTAGGGAAGAAACTCATATGTCTGGTTAATCAAGATAAGAATCATTCAAGGAAATATAATACTTGAACCCACGAAACTACTATTACAAGACTATAAATGGACTCAGCCTTTAGGTAAAACCAAAGTGTTAAAAAGACACAATGTAGTCATTTATTATACATGGTAAGTTTTCATTGGGAAGTAAAAAGTCTGAAATTCTGAAGGCCTTATGAACTCATTTTTTTTAGAATTCCTGTTTTGATTCAGAGCAGGTGACTATAGGATATGAAAAAGGCGGCAAACAGACCATGTAGAATGTTTAGTGCTTGACTAGTGGTTGCTGCCAGCAGTTTGATGTAGTGGAATTAAGTGTTATGTTTTTTCCTAGGATAATATGTGAGATAGGAGAGGACACACACACAAAATAGTCCAGTCTTTTACAAGAGTAGAGGTTAGAAGTAGATTTTCATTTAAGCCCACTTTAAATTATCCAGCGACTGAGTGTCACATTTTGTCACAAATTCAATAGTTGGCCAGGGTAGCCTCTTCTGAACTTGCGTGTTGGATTTTACTGAGCATTTCTGTGGGGCATTTGATATTTGTGCGTTTTTCCCCAGTAGGCATTTTGGTATCTGTATTACTTGCTCTGCAGTTGTAATTCCTTCCCCAGGGTAAATCACTGCATTAATTGAAAAGAATCTTTTTGCTCATCTATTGCATGTGTGTTTATTTCAAGTAACTTATGCTTAGGGAAACCCTTCAGATGCTTTCTAAGTGCCCAAATTGAGTAATTTGTTACAGATAAAGGTCTACGTTTAACGATCTCAATTATTAAACAAAATGCCAGAAAGTGTGTCCCAGAATAGTGTTTGGAATAGTGTTAGAGTCAAAACCAAAATATTCTTTTAACTTTTGGTTCGATGGATCACATTACACATAATATTTAAAAAAGAAGAAAAATCCTTTAATTGGAAATTTTACTTTTGAAATGACTTTTCATCTAATAGATCACGTTAACATTTTTAGACATTGAAAAGTGCTTAAAAAACCAACTGCACCCAGTACCCAATGCCACTTCCTAAGTGCAGAACAGAGGTGACATCTTGCCCCAAGCAGAAGATATTCTATTTTCCCTCCTCTCTTCCTTGCCCTTCCCTTCTCTGTCTGCTGCAGCCCAAACAGTTCAGAACAACATATCTATAAACTCTAGCACAGGCCTACGGATACAGATTATAGCTACAGTCAAAGTTTCTAAGCAAGTGGCAATATATATAGTGAGAAATAACTATTTGAAACCCTGTAGCCACCTTCAGGGGAAGTGAATTTCTTAACTTTTTCAGTTGCAAGAGTTGCTTCTTAGCCAACTCTTCTGTGACTGGAGTGAAGGGGAGGAAGGAGCTGACACCACAGCTTTATGGCATTAACCAGAATACCCCCCAATCAGGTGTCGCCCCCTGGAAGGCGGCCCCTGCCATCCCGGTCTTCCATTTTCCTGGCTCATTTTTAGGCAGAGATCAAGGACTCCTGGGCCAACTTCTGTGTAACTGGCTTTCCTAGGTTAGGGCTTGAACGAGTGTTAGAGAAGCCAAGGAGCTCAGGTGCAGAGAGCAGAGAAGTCAGTCTCGTGCTGCAGGACTGCAACTACTCGAGCCTACCTAACGAAGCTGTTTCAGATTGTGTGTCTTTGAATTATTCATATATGTGTATATTGTTTCAGACTAAAATAAGTGTTTAGTTGACTGGCTATGCTGTGTCAGTAGGAGATTGAGACTCCAGCTTTCATCCTTTGGAGAGATTTTGGCTTAAGCACCATAAGCCATTGCAAGAACTGGTCTGGGGGCTGTTCCGCCAAGGGCAGCTCATGGCTTGGTGGCGATACTTCTCCTCCTCCGCCCAGCATAGACTTGGTCACCTGAGTGTTAGAAGATGGGTATGAAGTTAAAAAATATCTTGTGGCCTGTGGGGACTTTAACTTGGGCAATTACGGCAACCGACTACTTACAAAACTGTCTTGAAAGAGAAACCCTTTTGTAAGACTATCAATTTATTTAAATTGTTTACCCTCTCTCAATACCAGATTGGTTTTCCTTTTCCTCCTGCATTGGCATGCGCCTTTCTTTCTCCCCAGCTGTCTGATTGTTAAGCAAATTACGTTGCTGGCAGGGTCTGCCTTTAGTAATTTGCCTTAATTTTCCAGGCTTGCTAAGGAACAGATCTCTGGCAGCCAAGGCTTACCTTTGTCTCCTTTTTCTCCCTTGGGCCCTTGAGCGCCGGGTGGCCCAGGCCTGCCAGGTGGCCCAGCAGGGCCCCTCTCACCTAGGAGGAGAGAGAGATGCTAAGTAAAGCACGAGTGTGGGACCTGGAGGAGCTGCACAGAGCCCAAGCCCGGCCCAGCACTGGCTGGGGAGCTGGTTTTCAGCATGAGGTTGTTACAGAGGATTTGGTGGCGGTTTCCCGCCACCACTTACCTTTGAGTCCTCGGATGCCAGCCTCTCCCTTCTGCCCAGGGGGTCCAGGAATGGCTCCGTAAGCTGCAAGAGGGGAAAACTGGCCTTAGACTAGCAGTCACCATGAAGCTGGGGAGATAAAGTGATATGTTCACAGATAGGTAGTAGAGTTTGCGCTTGTAGGAGGAAATCAAAGTTTAGGATTTGACAGATTTTTAGCATCTCAGTGTTAATAAGGTTTACATGTGAATGGAGGTTTTCCAGGAGACTGGTTCCTGTGGAGCAGGCTCCATGTGAGGCTATGCAGCAAGTTACATGTTGGGAAAGCAATCGGGGAAGCTCTTACTTCGGAAGAAGTCCATGAGGTCCTCAGTCACATTGCTGTAGGCAGAGAAGACCCTGCTGATGCCGGGGGGGCCCTGGGGCCCAGGCAGGCCTGGTGGGCCCTGGACAGTGTAGGCCATCTCTTGCAGCAGGCCTTGACCTGTAAAGCATGAAAGTGTGGGTGCACTCTTCACAGTGGGGAGTACAGCACCCTCGGATTGTCTGGCTCCCAATGCAGTTAGACAAGGGTAAGTGACAGGAGGGAAAGGCCCTGTGGCTTTCTTGTCTTCACTGTTGAGTGGCACTGGTCTCTGCAGTGGGCTTTCGTCAGAAGCCTTTTGTCTACGTGACTGCACTGACAAGCTATGGGGAGAAAGGGCTTTTTAGCCAACAACCTTCCCTCAGCCCCAGCAGAAACCATCATAGTTGTCAAGACTTCTGAGACCACACAAGTTAGTGGGAAAGCAAAGAAAAAGACCCCAACATTCTTTCTTCCCCGCAGCAGAGGTTCCAGTCCTGACAGGGTCCCCTTGAATGAGAATTAGGTTGGGGCCTCCTGTCTCCAGATCCTGTCCATCTGATTCCAGATTTGCCAGCCCCACCGCCTGGGTGCTCCGAGAATGAGAGGGTGAGTTTCTGGAGCCTAGACGTGGAAATGCTCGTGTGTTCCCACTCCCCCCACGGCACTGAGGCCTAAGTGCCCCGACTTACGCTGCAAGCTCTCGGACACTCGGACAGCCAGCTCGTTGTAATCCAGACCTCCAGCAAAGCCAGCCCCGAACAATCTGCCGTCACCACCATACAAGCCACCTTCGGAGCCAAAGGCCCCCCCTTCCCCCAGGGAGCCTCCGCTGGTTCCTCCTACACCCATGGAAGAGCTGTAGGAGGTGCTCCGGCTGGAGGATGAGCTGCTGTAGGAGCCCTCTGTGGACCCCAGGCGGCTGTCTCCAGGTGGCCCCTGAGGCCCAGGAGGGCCTGGGGGACCCACGATGAAGCTGCGTACATCAGGACCTGTGGGGAGGAAGCTGCGTTAGTAGGGGCTCAAGTCTGGAGAGAAAAGTGGGAGTTAAGGGGTCTTTCAGGGTCTTAACCCTCCTCAGCAGGATATGAACTTCAAGGCTCTGTGCATAAGTAGGATTGTGCTGTCTGGGAAGAAACCGGGCTTTTTCCAACTATTGGCTCTCATGTATTTGGCCTCCCAGGTTCCTTCACCCTCTGCTCCCCTGACAGGGAGAAGCAAGGCCTGGGAAGGGGGCACACGAGGGACAGCGATAATCAGGGCACCTACTTGTCAGGTAGCTAATCAGTTCGCTCCGGAAGCTGTCGCTGTTTTCAGCTGCATAGGTTGCCAGCGCTCCTGAGATACCCGGAGGCCCTCGAGGGCCTGGGGGACCCGGAGGGCCTGGCGGGCCTGGGATGGATGACAAGCCGGCCGCTGAGCGGAAGGCAAGCGAAAGCGAAAGATCAGAGGTCGCCCTGCTGAGGACGCTGAATTCCCAGCTCGGGGGCCCGTGTGTGCCCCTCTTGGAAAGGAGGGGGTGAGGCGGGAACGGCATGGGGAGCCCCCAGGAATGCTGCCCCCGACTGGCCCTCCCACTCCCAATCCTGAGCTGCATTCAGCCCAGGTCCTATCCTCTCCCCCTCGGCCCTCCTGCCACTGACAGTTGAACTCCGCCTGGCTCCTGATGGCTGATGACACACTGGCTCACCAGTTGTCTAAGGGCTGTGCCTGGGAGCACTGTCTCCCTGCTTCACTCGCTGAGGGGGTTGAAAGCACCTCAAAGCTCATGTCCCTCTCCAGGGCCCCAGGGCCCAGCCCTGTGCATGCTACAGGAGGACCTGGTAACTAAGTGGGTTTAACTCCACAGTTGCCCTTACTAAAATCATGGAGCCCTCAAGCCAGCTCCAGCCCTCTGCCCTCCTCACCCCTGCTCCCACGCCTTACTACGCAAGTAAGATGAGAGGTCCTCCGTGCTGATGCTGGACCACGCGTTGCCTGGGATCCCTGGTGGCCCAGGGGGACCTGGCGGCCCAACGATGCCTCTGAATTCAGATCCTGAGATGCCAAGGAAGAGCAAGGAGTTGGTCATGGCCTAGGCCAAGCTCTGCCTTCCATCCCAAACCACTTGGACAGATGTCCCCTGCTCAACCTTACCTTGGAACAAGGAGAGGAGCTCCTCATAGGATGGTCCCGGCAAGCCAGGGAGTCCCGGGGGGCCAGGAGGCCCAAAGCTCATTCCAGAACCTGCAGAACAAAATCCCAAGTTGTGATGGATTCAGATCAGATAGGGAAAGGCAGATGGAAACACCTGTGAGAGGAAGCCAGCCAGAAGCAATGTGAACAGAAGTGGGGATCAAGAAAGGGAAAAGAGGGGCAGTAGGAAGGGTCAGGCAGAAAGGGGTACTCAGAGAGACACTCCTGGGTAACGACGCCAAGGAGGGGCCCCAGGTCCTGGGAAAAGCATAGGTCAAAAAGGGCCACATCCTTCATCCTGCTGGGCGTGTGGGAGTGTTTGTGTATGTAGAGCAGTGTATGTGCAGGTGTGTACAGAGAAGTGGGCGTGAGTCATGTGCAAATTCCTTGCAGGACAGTGCCCAGGGCACTCATTTTGCTTCCCTCGCCAGGCTCTCCGACCTGATTGGCAGCCATGGGTTTGAATAGCTCTGAATGCTGCTCACTCCCCTGGGCTTGGTGCAGCCTGGCAGGAGAGGGTCAGTGGGCCATTTCAGGGGCGTTCAGCCTGAACTCCTGACCACCTTTGCCTGCAAAGGACAGACACTCACTCGACATGTAGCTGAGAATGCGATTGCTCAGCTCTGCATAGTCCAAAGACTGGAGGGACCAATCTCCACTGCCTCCTGGTGGCCCCGGGGGGCCTCGAGGGCCCATCAGGAACTGACGGAGATACTGACGTACGTCATCCCCTGAAAGAGAAGACGTGCCCGCTGGACCACCCAGGCCGCGGGACAGCCACAGCCGGGTCTCCCCACCAGACTGGCTGCAGAGAGACCTGTGAGCTCTGGTTTTCAGGCCCACAGCGGGGAATCGGCAAGCTCCCAGGTATCTGAAGGGGCACCTGCCCGGTTGCCTGGCACTGGGGCGAGGAGATTTGCTGCCTCCTTTCCAGTCAGTGGTTGGGAGCAGTGAGGGAGTGGCTCCGTGTCCTCAAGGACTGCCTCCCCTTTGCAGCCCTCACCAGGCTCAGGGGGACAAGGTGTGCCGACCAGGACGGTCAGGGGAAGGCAAAGGGGCTGCCGCCTCCAGCCCACTGCAGGAGACTCACGCTTTAGCGCAGCCAGGACGTCTTCAGAAGTGATGGAGGCAGCCGACGACAGGCCGATGCTGTACCCCGAACCTGTCGGAGGAAACCTGGGGTTACTGCGTATCTGCACTGAAGCAACACCCCATCACTCCAGAATCCCAAAGAATGGTCAACTGGCTGTTTCCATTTGGGGGAGATGAACCAAGGGGGCCCTAGGAGGCTGTTTTTAAAGCATGAAAATGTGGAAGGTTATTTTTGGTTTTGTTTGGTAAGAAATGGCTGTTTGTTTTCAAGCGTATGCTTTAGCCTAAGTCCTATGAGATCCCACCAGCCCCACGGATCCCATTTCACATATTTGGGACACATCGGTCAACCGCGGAGAAGGCTCACTGACCACGGCTAAGCAGTGTGTCTTCATCTGAGCAAACCCTTTTTGAAGCCGGCTCCCGGTGGTCTGACTGCTGTGAGTTCAGATTTGAATGTCACGTTCAGAAGAAGGGCAAAGCCAGCAGGAAATTAAGAGACAAGGTTCCAGCAACAACAGTGGACCCTGGGGGAGGGTCATGGTCATTTTAGGGGTGGGAGAGGCTTACTCTGTAAGTAGCTCACGACGAGGCTTGCCAGCTCCGAGTAGTTGAAAGTCTCACCCGTGATGGTGGTGACAGGCCCAGGGGGCCCAGGGGGACCCGGAGGACCCTGAACTCCGGATAGATAAGACCGAACACTATCACCTGCCAACAAAGACAGAAAGCAAAGTCAAGCCTGCCCCCGGTGGGCCTGTTCTCCATGCATACCACATGGAGGTGACCTACCACACCCTCACATGGGCATGAGGCAGGGCCAGCAGGAGCCTATATGTCTCGTTACAAGTGAAGAAACTGAGGCAGAGGCCTCTGCTGGGTCGGGAGGTACTTGAGGGCTGTGGACCAACAAGACTCTAGTCAACCATCCATTTCGCAAAACTCTGGTGCCCACGTTTGTGGAAATCACACACATCCCTGGGGAGTTCAGGGATGGGGTTAGGGTTGTGCACACAGGTGAAAGTGTGAGCGTGTAGCCGTGGTATGCGTGTGGACAAACGTGAGGGTGTGCGAGCCTCTGCTGGGGTAAGGCTGGGGTTCTGTGGGCAGCTAGCAGGCAGGAGCGCATGGACCTGCTGTCTTGGCTGCAGAAGTGAAGACCTGGGTCTGGCCACGCAGGCTGCTGACCCCCAACACAGATGTGTATGCGTGCTCACACGCGTGTGCGCGCACACCGCCCAACCCTGACCCTGGCACTCACTCTGCATGTACTCAGAGATGTACTGCTGAATCTCCAGGCCAGAGCTGCTGAGGGAGCCCGGGGGCCCGGGGGGGCCAGGCGGGCCCGGTGGGCCCTGCATGAACCTGGTGCTGGACGATGATCCCCCTGGGAGAGAGAAAGCCCTCTGAGCTGGTTTCTCCACCCCAGGTCAGACAAGGGGCCCGCGCACTGCTCCCACGGTCTGTAGAGGGGGGTCTTTCTCAGTAGAAGAGAGAGGACAGTGGCAAAGAGAAGGTTCCCCCAAAAAGAGAGCCTAGGAGTACCTGCAGCAGCCGCTGTCTGCAAGGGGCACGGAGGGGGAGCTCTCCAGCCAAGCCCTCCCTCCTCTCTCTCTCTCGGCAGCCTGCTTGCACCCCGCAGCCTCCCTCACCTCCGAACGCCCCAGCTCCCCTGCCCTGTCTCCATCTCCTGTGGTTGGCGTTGTCAGCCATCTTTACGCGCAGGAGTTCCTCCCTCCTGCCCCCACTAACATGTAACCTCCTCAAGGCAGCTCCGAAATCCTAGCATGTGGAGAAACTACCTAATCAACACCGAATCATGGATCAATGAGTGAACGAAGGAACCCAGGTCCTCCCTGGCGTGACCAGCCTTGCCTGGAGGAGGGGAGAGGAACTTTGGTCACCTTCAGTTCTTACCTTGAGAGGGACCACCTGGAATGCCAGGGACACCTGGATCCCCTGGAATCCAAAATGAGAAGCCCTGTTTGCATCACCTCCAGGAAGCCTTCCCTGGTTAAGCCCAACCACACCTATCAGCATGTAGCTCAACAATTGTTTCATGTCTGTTTCTGCAACGATACCCCAGGCTCTCTTTGGGCAGAGACTGTGTGTGTCCCCACATCTCCCCACGTCTCTCTTCTTCTAGCCTCTCCTTTCTTCGACATCCTCCCCGCGCCCCCCAAGGCTTTAGCATTGATAAGTGCATGCTGCTCACTATCTGGGCTCTGGGAGCCAGCTTTACTCCTACTTCTCACTGCCTCCTTAGCTGCTCCCTCACTGACCTTTGTCACCTTTAGGTCCCTGAGGGCCGGGCGGTCCCTGCAGGTCGAGTCCGAGAGAACTGGAACCTAGAAGCCAACACCATACACAGTGCAGTCAGCCAGGGCTGGGCGCGGC